AGCCCTACTGCATTGTCATAACTACAGACTGATTTGACTGATAAGGGATTATAAAAAATATGTTTATACTAGAAGCGTGGACAATCAATACATCCTCTTCAAATCTACTCCAAGGAAAAAAATAGTTAACGCAGACTATTTTTACGATGCTTCATTTAATAAATATTGAAATAATTCACGAGGTTATTATCAATCACGTGTTTACGTAATGTAAGACGCGAGATCAACATGAAAGTGAGCCGGAAAAAAACCATGCTATACGTATACGCATAGGCGATTTGGCTAAACTTTTTTTGTTAACGGTTACCTATTTATTAATACTTTTCACATAAACTCACATAACAACACATTATGTATCTTTTATTAATGTTTGACATAAATAAATTTGTTGATCGTCATTTGTCTTAGAGTTCCGAGTGCCAAGGGACATAATCCAAGATGGCGATCTCTCAGAATCGTTGATCTTTTCCTGAAAAAAACTTGAAATTTTTCTATACCTGTGTATTTTACGCACCCCCCACTTTGGGTATTAAATTTCTGAAAAAAAAGTGCGCAAATAACATGGGTTTTTACGGTAGTATTTTTTTTCTTAAAACCTGTCTTCAATTAAATATCACCTACTCGGTAACAGAAATAGTCATGTTTTAGCATAGGTCGTTCAATTGGATTTTTCACAATATTTACACACATATAAATATAAAGAAAGAAATAGTTGTTGGAAAATAAGATGTTCAGGACCATGCAGTACTGCAGGAATGATGGCAAATTTTAAAAACAAAAGATCAAAGTACTATGCTAGCTGCTGTGCTATTTACTGGCATTGAAAGAATTCAGGACATTAAATATTTTTAATGTAATTTTTGATTTGGCATTTGGTAAAGGTGTAAAGGATATAAAAAAAATCCATAGTCTTGGGAATGACCTGTGCTTTGCAGAATAACTGGCAGCACATTAGGATGAGGCCAACAAACTCCAACCAAACTCTCTGTTAAGAGAAATCAATACTCACACAGAATCTGAAGCTGTTGTATATAACCTTAAATTAAAAACATACAGAGTAAAGTATCATTTCATAGTCTCGCCCTTGTACATTTAGATATAAAAAGGACATGATCAGAATGTAACAATACATTGTATTGATTAATTCCTATTTGTTTCCCCTTCTGTATATATGTAACACATCTTTCACACATACAACCAAAAACAGATGTAAAATTTATTTATACTGCCTATTAATGTAGATGTTACAAATGTCACGTTATAAGTTGTAATATATACCTGTTCTGTAAAGCCTAAGGATGCTCATGTTTCATTAATGGCTATACAATCTATTATAACCTATATCAAAATGTGTAAAATATTAATAATTCAAGTTCTACACTGATCTAAACAATTGATTCACATTCTCCCCCCATTCACTAAAGGTGTGACCTATATATTTTGTGTATCAGCCTATATGTGCTCACCTTTGTTAGGGTTTTAGCTCATTGATCGATTGGTTTGAATTATTGAGCCAAGTTTCATTGATTGCACATAATTTATGTATCTTGATGCTGGTGCTGGGTTTCAGGTCTGAGTGACATCATCTTCCATTTGTCTTTGGAATATAATCGGAAAGATCACCTGATAATTTATGTTTTTTACACTCTCGAGAGGTCACATCAAGCCATCACTGTATGGGTTGGTGTTACAGGTCTTCAAGTGGCCAATTCTCTTAAGGTTTAATGAAAATGTAAAACTTAGAAAAGTTGATATGATATTTGACAGTTGTTAGCTTTCTTCTACTCATTACAAACTGAAAGTAGAGAAAACTGTTTGACTTTATCAGATAGTAGTTAGATATTGTAGAAGCTAGTAATTTATGGGTGCTTATTCAATTAATACTAATATCTCATTTTGTATCATTACTATGATATCTTGACCATTTACAATTACAAATTAAAATTTGATACAGACATATGATACATCACCAAGGGGTATACGTTGCTGTCCAAAAATATACAATATCTATATGAATAAACATACGTCCTTAAATGACTTTAGCTGTCAATAGGACATTAAACAAAATAAAACCAAACTAAACATAAACATATATATAGGTCTCATAATTAATAGCGACAGTATATGAGCCAATATGGGATATATATATATTATATATGGGGCAAAGAAGTAATTCCAACAGTGTGGACAAGTTTAGGTTGTCAAATTTTCGGAGCGATATATATATATAAGAACTGATCAATGAAGGTGACAGCATTATCATTTTACCTTGACAATACCAAATACAGTTATTAAAAGTGAGTGTTTATGTGTCAAAAACAAGTACTGCCCGATACCAGTAGTAAAGGGCGCCCCAACCAGTAGTAAAGGGCGCCCCTACCAGTAGTAAAGGGCGCCCCTACCAGTAGTAAAGGGCGCCCCTACCAGCACGATGGAGTTCCAATGCTGTCAAACTCTCCAGATCTCCCTAGGGCTGATCCATTAAAGTATCTTGCCTTGAAATTGTCATAACAATATGTCGTTATAGCATTCCAAAAGAAATGAAATTCATAGTAGTGATCTAATGTTGATCTTCTTCTTGAACAGGTCAGAAAACATGTATGCACGTGCATGGTGTGTTCCCATATCTGTATGTGCCTTACGATGGCACCCAGCCCTGGGACAGGTACATGCGACTGTTTGCTTCCAGTGTGGATAAGGCTGTCAATGTCGCTCAAGGTCATCCCACTTCAAACATTCAACATGTATACAAAATTACCCTGGTGTCCGGAATGTAAGTAGACCATTTTCCTTTCCAATCTAAAAAGTTTTCTGCAGAATAATGAATTCAATGCAGTCTTCAACAATATGTTTTACAAAACTGCAAATGGATAATTAGATAATTATTGTTAATAGATTAATAAAGAATGTTCACTCTGTGCTTTAGCTCTATTGAATTGTTTCATTGCTTTTACAGACCTATGTATGGTTACCATGACAAAGAGCAACAGTTTCTCAAGATTTACCTGTACAATCCAGGCATTGTAAGAAAGTAAGTAAACAGATTAAACAGATTATTAGCTCAACTGGTCCAAAGGACCAAGGTGAGCTTATGCCATACCGTGGCGTTCGTCCGCTATATTGCTTTAAGCGACTTCTTCTCTGGAACTAAGTGATGGATATCAACCATATTAGACCGGAAGCATCCCTAGGTGTTGGGGATTCAAAATTGTACAAACGGTTGTGCTGACCCCCCAGGGGGCTGAGGGGCGGGGCCAAAAGGGGGCAATTTGGTTATATTGCTATAAACGACTTCTTCTGCAGAACTATGCCATGGATATTGATCATATTTGGTCGGAAGTATTCATGGAAGGCAGGGATTCAAAATTGTACAAATGGTGGGGCTGACCCCACGGGCTGAGGGCTGGGGCCAATAAAATGTATTACTTGGAAATGGGTGAGGTCCCCACCATATAACCATATATACAATTGCTGAGAAGAATGCACATTTGCTTCCAGGATGTCCCTAGGGTCTGGCCCCACCCTTAGAGACATAGTCCCTGGGCCATAACTTTAAAACGGTTGAGATCCCCACCCCAAAACTACATATACAAATGCTGGGCATAAAGAGACGAATGCAATCATGATATCAGGATAGACCCTGGGGTCTGACCAAAACCCCCTAGGGACCTAGTTTGTTAGTCACAGCTTGGAAACAGTTGAGAGCCCCACCCTATAACCGTATATATACAATTGCTGAGTATAAAGAGATGATTGCACATTTGCTTCCAGGTTGGCCTTGGGGACTGCCCGACCCTTGGAGACTTAACCCCTGGGTCATAATTTTGAAATGGTTAATATCCCCACCCCAAAACTATATATACAATTGTTGGGCATAAAGCGACGAATGCAGTCATGATATTAGAATTGGTCCCAGGGTCTGCCCCACCCTTGCAGACTTGGCCCCTGGGTCATAACTTTGAAACGGTTGAGATCCCCACCCCAAAACTATATATACAAATGCTTGGCAAAAAGAGACAAATGCAGTCACGTTATTAGAAGCGATCCTGGGGTCTGGCCACAACTCTAGGGACCTAGTTTCTGAGTCAAAGCTTGGAAACAGTTGAGATCCCCACCCCATGACCATACATAAAATTGCTGGGCATGAAAAATCTAATATAGCTATGCTACAAGGATTGGCCTTTGGGTCTGGCATATTCCCTTGATCTCATTTGGAGAATAGTTTGCCATGATTGTTAAAGGTATCCAGGCGAGCGATACAGGCCCTCTGGACCTCTTGTTTACTAGAAGTGTTACAAATATCACAGTGTAAACATCACCAATTATTTACTAGAAGTGATACAAATATCACATTGTGAGCACCAATTATTTACTAGAAGTGTTATCAATATCACAGTGTGAACACCAATTATTTACTAGAAGTGATACAAATATCACAGTGTAAACATCACCAATTATTTACTAGAAGTGTTATCAATATCACAGTGTGAGCACCAATTATTTTCTAGAAGTGATACAAATATCAAAGTATAGACATCACCAATTATTTTCTAGAAGTGATACAAATATCACAGAGTGAGAACCAATTATTTTCTAGAAGTGATACAAATATCACATTGTGAGCACCAATTATTTACTAGAAGTGATACAAATATCACAGTATAGACAGCCCCTTCTTATAAGCAGCGCATTAGACTTTAATATATTCAATGGAAAGGGAGTAATATATTCAGGAGAGTCTATATATACTCTCAGACACAACAACTGTTCACAAAGCTATCCAGGTGAACTACACACTGTGAAAGGTAGGTTAGGTATTGTATGACTGTACCGGTATTGTTGAGGTGATGAGTATCGGGTAATTCTGTGTCGGTCGTCTGATACACTAAGATGGCTCCCCTGTAAAATTGTCCTGTTTGTAATGAAAGATGATAGCATTGCTTTCTCTAACATAAAAACAAATTGTTGGTTACCGGTGGGGTCAAAACTAAACCTGTTGGAGCAACAAATCATGACAAACATTTTATACACAAGGATGTGTTTGATCATTTGTGCTTAGGGTTCTTATCTGTCCACGTAGATATCTAATTCTGAAAGGAAATCTTCATACCACCAACTGTCATTGAAGTGGATCAGTTTTAGGGTCAGGAGTGATAGTCTGGTCGGTATAGATGTTGAATGAAGATAGACTCCTACAGAAAGTCCTTTGTATCAACTACCAACAAATATATAAAACATTGATTGTCTCCCCTGCTTCCTATTCCTGCCTATTCCCTAGTCTGTGTTGTAAGCCAAATTTTGTTATTTTGAATCGAAGACCTTTGCCTCAGATTTTAAAGTGTTCAGGATATCTTTGGATGGATTCCGCAGATCTCCACACAAATAAATCATATTACAGATCTCCACACAAATAAATCATATTACAGATCTCCACACAAATAAATCATAATACAGATCCCACAAAAATAAATCATAATACAGATCTCCACACAAATAAATCGTATTACAGATCTCCACACAAATAAATCATAATACAGATCTCCACACAAATAAATCATAATAAAAAGAGTAAAGGATAATCAACACTACAGAAACAGTTTAGCAGCTTGAATCAAAACAGACATTTTTTTCCGACAAAGAGAGAAAAGAAATCGTAGGATATTGATTGATCAGGAGCTTTGAGTATTGGGTAATTGCTTGCATTTTGTGGCCATTTGAAAAAGATACCTCTTATGTGTTCAATTATAAAAAAGAAGCCTTACATTTGGGAGATTCAATTTTTGATATTAGCTAGCAAGAGGATGACCAACCTTTTTTAAGTTGTGCTCAGTTCATATGCTCTTGAATATTTTTGCAAATCAAAGTGGGTGTGCTTCTTATTTATTCAGATAGTTTGAATATAATTGTTTTTAGTTATAAGAATTTTCATATTATAAAACTCCCTATGATATATCATAAATTGTTGAAGTTGACACGAGGGTTACTCTGACAACAAATTCACTTCAGGTTACATTGTGTCCAAAATTTTACAATTTATGGTATCTAACTTCTCTACGTGATAATTAGTACTTTACATATTTTTCTGTGCCCATGAGCTACATCTTCGTTTCCAAGGAATATAGTTTTTACTTCCATTTATGTGAGTAAAGGATATTTAAACATTTGGAACAAATAATAACTTTGAGGTAAACAGTTTTCTAACTGTACATTTTTTTCTTATGATTGAAAAACATTTAATAAATATTCCTTTTTATAGACACCTTTCTTTTGTCTCATGTTTCTGTATTGGCATATAAACATGATTAAACTAAATCATAAGATTTCTTGTTGTTTGACTACAGGGTTGCTGATCTGCTGTTGGGTGGAGCAGTCATGAACCAGGTGTACCAGCCCCATGAGTCACACATCCCCTACACATTACAGGTATACTAGACTTGTCTATTATAGCTACATCACAACTATACATACTATCAGGTGTACCAGCCCCACGATTCACACATCCCCTACACACTACAGGTATACTAGACTGGTCTATCATAACTACATCACAACTATACATACTATCAGGTGCACCAGCCCCACGAGTCACACATCCCCTACACACTACAGGTATACTAGACTGGTCTATCATAACTACATCACAACTATACATACTATCATGTGTACCAGCCCCACGAGTCACACATCCCCTACACACTACAGGTATACTAGACTGGTCTATCATAACTACATCACAACTATACATACTATCAGGTGTACCAGCCCCACGAGTCACACATCCCCTACACACTACAGGTATACTAGACTGGTCTATCATAACTACATCACAACTATACATACTATCAGGTGTACCAGCCCCACGAGTCACACATCCCCTACACACTACAGGTATACTAGACTGGTCTATCATAACTACATCACAACTATACATACTATCAGGTGTACCAGCCCCACGAGTCACACATCCCCTACACACTACAGGTATACTAGACTGGTCTATCATAACTACATCACAACTATACATACTATCAGGTGTACCAGCCCCACGAGTCACACATCCCCTACACACTACAGGTATACTAGACTGGTCTATCATAGCTACATCACAACTATACATACTATCAGGTGTACCAGCCCCACGAGTCACACATCCCCTACACACTACAGGTATACTAGACTGGTCTATCATAACTACATCACAACTATACATACTATCAGGTGTACCAGCCCCACGAGTCACACATCCCCTACACACTACAGGTATACTAGACTGGTCTATCATAGCTACATCACAACTATACATACTATCAGGTGTACCAGCCCCACGAGTCACACATCCCCTACACACTACAGGTATACTAGACTGGTCTATCATAACTACATCACAACTATACATACTATCAGGTGTACCAGCCCCACGAGTCACACATCCCCTACACACTACAGGTATACTAGACTGGTCTATCATAGCTACATCACAACTATACATACTATCAGGTGTACCAGCCCCACGAGTCACACATCCCCTACACACTACAGGTATACTAGACTGGTCTATCATAACTACATCACAACTATACATACTATCAGGTGTACCAGCCCCACGAGTCACACATCCCCTACACACTACAGGTATACTAGACTGGTCTATCATAGCTACATCACAACTATACATACTATCAGGTGTACCAGCCCCACGAGTCACACATCCCCTACACACTACAGGTATACTAGACTGGTCTATCATAACTACATCACAACTATACATACTATCAGGTGTACCAGCCCCACGAGTCACACATCCCCTACACACTACAGGTATACTAGACTGGTCTATCATAGCTACATCACAACTATACATACTATCAGGTGTACCAGCCCCACGAGTCACACATCCCCTACACACTACAGGTATACTAGACTGGTCTATCATAGCTACATCACAACTATACATACTATCAGGTGTACCAGCCCCACGAGTCACACATCCCCTACACACTACAGGTATACTAGACTGGTCTATCATAGCTACATCACAACTATACATACTATCAGGTGTACCAGCCCCACGAGTCACACATCCCCTACACACTACAGGTATACTAGACTGGTCTATCATAGCTACATCACAACTATACATACTATCAGGTGTACCAGCCCCACGAGTCACACATCCCCTACACACTACAGGTATACTAGACTGGTCTATCATAGCTACATCACAACTATACATACTATCAGGTGTACCAGCCCCACGAGTCACACATCCCCTACACACTACAGGTATACTAGACTGGTCTATCATAGCTACATCACAACTATACATACTATCAGGTGTACCAGCCCCACGAGTCACACATCCCCTACACACTACAGGTATACTAGACTGGTCTATCATAGCTACATCACAACTATACATACTATCAGGTGTACCAGCCCCACGAGTCACACATCCCCTACACACTACAGGTATACTAGACTGGTCTATCATAGCTACATCACAACTATACATACTATCAGGTGTACCAGCCCCACGAGTCACACATCCCCTACACACTACAGGTATACTAGACTGGTCTATCATAGCTACATCACAACTATACATACTATCAGGTGTACCAGCCCCACGAGTCACACATCCCCTACACACTACAGGTATACTAGACTGGTCTATCATAGCTACATCACAACTATACATACTATCAGGTGTACCAGCCCCACGAGTCACACATCCCCTACACACTACAGGTATACTAGACTGGTCTATCATAGCTACATCACAACTATACATACTATCAGGTGTACCAGCCCCACGAGTCACACATCCCCTACACACTACAGGTATACTAGACTGGTCTATCATAGCTACATCACAACTATACATACTATCAGGTGTACCAGCCCCACGAGTCACACATCCCCTACACACTACAGGTATACTAGACTGGTCTATCATAGCTACATCACAACTATACATACTATCAGGTGTACCAGCCCCACGAGTCACACATCCCCTACACACTACAGGTATACTAGACTGGTCTATCATAGCTACATCACAACTATACATACTATCAGGTGTACCAGCCCCACGAGTCACACATCCCCTACACACTACAGGTATACTAGACTGGTCTATCATAGCTACATCACAACTATACATACTATCAGGTGTACCAGCCCCACGAGTCACACATCCCCTACACACTACAGGTATACTAGACTGGTCTATCATAGCTACATCACAACTATACATACTATCAGGTGTACCAGCCCCACGAGTCACACATCCCCTATACACTACCGGTATACTAGACTGGTCTATCATTACTACATCACAACTATATATACTATCAGGTGTACCAGCCCCACGAGTCACACATTCCCTACACACTACCGATATACTAGACTGGTCTATCATTACTACATCACAACTATACATACTATCATGTGTACCAGCCCCACGAGTCACACATCCCCTACACATTACAGGTCTACTAGACTGGTCTATCATAGCTACATCACAACTATATATACTATCAGGTGTACCAGTCCCACGAGTCACACATCCCCTACACATTACAGGTATACTAGACTGGTCTATCATAGCTACATCACAACTATATATCCTATCAGATGTCCCAGCCCCCCGAGTCACACATCCCCTACATACTACAGGTATACTACAGTGGTCTATCATAGCTACATCACCACTATACATACTATCAGGTATACCAGTCCCACGCGTCACACATCCCCTACACACAACAGGTATACTAGACTGGTTTATCATAGCTACATCACAACTATACATACTATCAGTTTTACCAGCCCCACGAGTCACCCATCCCCTACACATTACAGGCATACTAGACTGGTCTATCATTACTACATCACAACTATATATACTATCAGGTGTACCGGTCCCACGAGTCACACATCCCCTACATACTACCGGTATACTAGCCTGGTTTATCATAGCTTCATCACAACTATACATACTATCATGTGTACCAGCCCCGCGAGTCACACATCCCCTATACACTACCGGTATACTAGATTGGTCTATCATAGCTACATAACAACAATACATACTATCAGGTGTACCAGCCCCACCAGTCACACATCCCCTATACACTACCGGTATACTAGACTGGTCTAGCATAGCTACATCACAACTATACATATTATCAGATGTACCAGCCCCACGAGTCATACATTCCCTACACACTACCGATATACTAGACTGGTCTATCATAACTCCATCACAACTATACATACCATCAGGAGTATCAGCCCTACGAGTCATACATTCACTCCCCACTACCAGTATACTAGACTGGTCTATCATAGATACATCAAAACTATACATACTATCAGGTTTACCAGTCCCACGAGTCACCCATCCCCTACACATTACAGGTATACTAGAATGGTCTATCATAGCTACATAACAACTATACATACTATCATGTGCACCAGCCCCATGAGTCGCACATCCCCTACACACTACAGGGATACTAGACTGGTCTATCATAGATACATCAAAACTATACATACTATCAGGTTTACCAGTCCCACGAGTCACCCATCCCCTACACATTACAGGTCTACTAGACTGGTCTATCATAACTCCATCACAACTATACATACCATCAGGAGTATCAGCCCTACGAGTCATACATTCCCTAGGTATACTAGACTGGTCTGTCATAGCTACATCACAACTTTATATACTATCAGGTGTACCAGTCCCACGAGTCACCCATCCCCTACACATTACAGGTATACTAATAACTACATCACAACTATACATACCATCAGGTGTATCAGCCCTACGAGTCATACATTCCCTACACACTACCAGTATACTAGACTGGTCTATCATAGCTACATCACAACTATACATACTATCATGTGTACCAGCCCCACGAGTCACACATCCCCTTCATACTACAGGTATACTAGACTGGTCTATCATAACTACATCACAACTATACATACCATCAGGTGTATCAGCCCTACGAGTCATACATTCCCTACACCCTACCAGTATACTAGACTGGTCTATCATAGCTACATCACACCTATATATACTATCAGGTGTACCAGCCCCACGAGTCGCACATACCCTACACACTACAGGTATACTAGACTGGTCTATCATAACTACATCACAATTAACATATATATCACCATTTTACCATATTCACCTTGATCACCCTATGAGATAATCTGGTTAAAATAAGATTTTGTTGCTATGTCCAGTGTCAATCGTTTATTACAAAATTGTTATATCATGTATTCCAGCCACAAACCTAAAAGACAACTTGGTATTATTCTTTTTATAACATTGGGACAAGTAACTGTTTAACTTTGATCAGTTCCCTGTCTACAGGTTGTGTGATATCTTGTCTATCACAAGGTCAGCTGATTAGCTGTGATCTTACATTTTCAGATGTTCATAGACTATAACCTGTACGGTATGAACCTAATCAATGCTGCAGCGGTCAAGTTTCGCCGGAGAAGGAGGGAAGATGGTAAGTTTTACCTCAGCATTGTTCAGTGAAATTGACCGCAACAATTTACATTCATTTGATGTTGGTATTGGAAAGAAATTTGTGTATATATTTGAAAGTTTTAAAATGATATTCAAAACTTCTGACTAACTGCAGATATATAAATGTTGCATACTAATTTCATAACCCTCAATGAAAGGTACTGGTCACATTAAAAAGTTTAAAGGTAAACTGATTGTTTATCGTCATCAAATTTGTGTCCGGACCATAACTTCTGACTGGTTTAAAATAATTTGATGAATCTTTGTTAACTGTCAGCACTGGACTTGCCTACCACTCTCACTTCTGTACCCCAAAAATCAAGATCTTAGTGAGAGGTCAAATGTTAAGTCAGTGCATCCTGATTGAGTGGTGTATCTTATACGCTCTCAGGTTCCTATACCCAACTGAAAGGTCAGCAAAAGGGCTCAAGTCTTTTTATTGCTTATAGGTGTTGATAGGACGTTAAACCCCAGTGCAAATTACTTATTAGACTTTATAGATGAATGTTTTATGATAAGACAATAAGACTTTTATTGGAAAGCGATACTCATTTGTAGACAATGGTAACATTATGGAGATTGGAAGTCAGGGATCAGTTGGGCGTGGCACAGGAACTCCCAAGTTCCTGCCTCTCAGCCTTGATGACAACCAGCACAACGCAATTTGGGACGACACTACCATCTCAAGGTCAGTCAGTGCATCAGTGGAGGTCAAGGTCATAATGATTGGAATACATCAGCAGAGGTCAAAATCATAGCATTCATATATCACATAAAGTTATACAATATATAGGTCATTTCACTTAATTGAGTTTAAGATCATAGGAAAATTGTCTTGATTAAACAATTATGTCATTAAGACATTGCAATGTTTTGTCACTGAATACAATACTATACTTTAATATTTTATTTTCTACATCTGATACCTAGTCCTACAACATTAAGAGGAAACACTTATATACTGCTTCATTTGTTATGTAAAACAAATCAGTTGAATGTTGTTTGAGAGATTTTATAAAATGTAAAAAATTTAACAAGATTTTAAAGTCAGTTGTATGAAAGATAAGACTAAATGTAAGTTACTGAAGTAAGGATTTCAGATTTTGACAGCATCAGCACTAATATCATTGGTGAAAAACCTGAAAGTTTTTTACTTCACCTGCAATACGTTCCTGTTTATCCGTTAATTAGGACCAGTCGTTATTGAATAAACAGTTCACTAAGTTCATGAAGACCAAAACCTGAAGTATGTTCCATTTAGCATAAAGTTGATGGACATCACAGTGTCACTACCAGGTAAAGGAATAAAGCATTGGATACATCTTACTTATACTAAACTAAAACGTATACATTTTTAGAGTTAGCCTTTTTAAAATTGGACTCCAAGCAGACAATAGACATCCTTCTGACACACAGAGTCTCCTATGCATTTTGTTCTTCATTTTTACATAAGGGCAACATGCATACTGAAATACAATTGTAGAGGGTTTTGTGATAACTGTGTGTATGACTTGTATGTTCCAGCGACCTGTATGTTGACGTTGAGAGACTGAGTACATGTGAGCTGGAGGTTGATGTTGTAGCTGCTGACATCCTTAACAGACTAGAGGTAGATGGTAAGTGCTCAAAAGCCATGTTTACTGTGGAGGTGGGTGGTAAATGAACAAATGTCATGATTTAATACAGTAAGTGATATTAATAATAATATACAACATTTGATATAGTGCCCTATCTAGCTAACATAAGCCACTCTAAAGGAACTGCCTTATCAGGCACTAACTACTAATCCTATGCCACCTGGCTAATATCTCCCTATATGTGTATGCCTGTGTATGTGCTGGAGATGTAATGTGTTCTGTTTGTAGTAGGGTCACCTGCATGGAAGGCCGGAGTGTTAACCACTCGACCAATCCGCCCATTATTATTATTATTATTATAAAGTAATTACGTAACAGAATTATTTATAAAATAATTACAAAGCAGAATCATTTTTCAGGATATATGATCTCTTACTTATACAGCAACAGTAAATGTTCTTACTTTTGATGTTCTATACTATCTTAATAATAGCCTGTATTGAATTTATTCAACCAGAAGTTCAGGTTATATTATTATAACCCTACTTTGCAGCAAACTAAGGGGGGATATATGTAATCATCACTTGATGTAACTTTGCAGTTTACTTTTTGGGGGATTTTCCTGGGAGATTAACCTGTTGCTTACAGTTCTATGTGTTTCTGTACTACTTAGCCAATGTTGGTACAAACCCTGGACTAGCAGCTCTGTGGGAAGATGAGAAGCAGAGGAGGAGAGATAGAGGGGAGACTTCACAACTTGCACCTCCCGAGTCTCAAGGTATACCCTAAGTCTATTCCTTTTGTTGCTTCTGTTTTGTTCTGATGGAGAAACTTTTGTTTTTTGAAAATGGTCGAAATAATCTTCATGTGCAGTGTTTCAAATTACAGTCTGATGACTGCATGTTTACACCCATTGACATCGTCCTATTAAGGTGTTCAGGACTTTACTCATTGTTTTGCATAAATTAACCAACTGTTTCACATGACTTAACCTATTGTTTCACCTAAATTTACCAACTGTTTCACATGACTTAACATGTTGTTTCACCTAAATTTACCAACTGTTTCACATGACTTAACATGTTGTTTCACCTAAATTAACCAACTGTTTCACATGACTTTACCTGTTGTTTCACCTAAATTTACCAACTGTTTCACATGACTTAACCCGTTGTTTCACATAAATTTACCAACTGTTTCACATGACTTAACCTATTGTTTCACCTAAATTTACCAACTGTTTCACATGACTTTACCTATTGTTTCACCTAAATTTACCAACTGTTTCACATGACTTTACTTATTGTTTCACTTAAATTAACCAACTGTTTAAAATGACTTAACCTGTTGTTTCACCTAAATTAACCAACTGTTTCACATGACTTAACCTGTTGTTTCACATAAATTAACCAACTGTTTCACATGACTTAACCCGTTGTTTCACATAAATTTACCAACTGTTTCACATGACTTTACTTATTGTTTCACCTAAATTAACCAACTGTTTCACATGACTTAACCCGTTCTTTCACATAAATTTACCAACTGTTTCACATGACTTAACCTATTGTTTCACCTAAATGTACCAACTGTTTCAAATGACTTTACCTATTGTTTCACCTAAATTAACCAACTGTTTCACATGATTTAACCTGTTGTTTCACATAAATTTACTAACTGTTTCACATGACTTTACTTATTGTTTCACTTAAATTAACCAACTGTTTAAAATGACTTAACCTGTTGTTTCACCTAAATTAACCAACTGTTTCACATGACTTAACCTGTTGTTTCACCTAAATTTACCAACTGTTTCACATGACTTTACCTATTGTTTCACCTAAATTTACCAACTGTTTCACATGACTTAACCTGTTGTTTCACATACATTTACCAACTGTTTCACATGACTTTGCTTACTGTTTCACATGACTTTATTTACAAGCATACTTGCCAACGCTCCCTTGAGCGTTAGTGGCCTTGCTTTGTTGCATTGATCATCTCAATCTAATGCTGGTAATTTGTCAGAAAGTGTCATTGTAAGTAATTTAGACATTTCTCAAATTGAACCACAGAGGCCTTTCCATGAAAAGTTTGAAAGGTTGGCAAGTATGTACTTCCAGCCAAGGTTAAAATGTCTACAGTGTTCCAGGTAGTGTTCACTGATTTATGAGACGAGAATGTAAGGTGGCTAACCAGGGCATTGCCTTCAATCTCAAGTATTTTGTATGGAAAGGGTGTGTCGGTCATCCAATGGTGTGATTTATGTTTCAGAGCATGAAAATGTAGAAGTAACAGAAAGTGATCTAGAGCTTAGACAGAGATTTCATGAGATCGTTTTGGAGCATCAACCTTACATGTAAGTTTTTTTCCTGGGTAAATTATATTTATCCTACTACAAAAGAATAGAAGAGGTTGGTCTGTACTCTTACAGTACTAAGGAAGGGACAAAATTAAAAGTAAATGGAACTTTATCACTGAAATAATTAGTTAGAAAACTAACTATGATTTACTCTTTTCAGACTATTTTGAAACATATTTCTAAAGATTAATGTACTACATAGTAATATTGTATATATGATTGAATAAAAGAATATATGAGGAAAAAAAAGTTGTTAAAACCTATTACTCTGTAGTAGGAATTAGGTGTATCACTTGTGGTTTTCAGGGTTATAGAAGCCACGTATATCAATACCTGTAATATTGACACAGCATTTATGATGTATCTGTATACTTATCATTGTATAGGATGGGATATACTAGCAAGGTAGTTTGAACAGTAAAATGGTGAAATGATGTACCAGAAAATATTACACAGTATCTTAAATGTTTAATAATCTGGGCTTTGGACTAAAGATCTGTTGTAATTTAATTTGATAGATCTTCTTTAATTCATGAGTCATATATTAGATACATTTTCTTTGTATGATAAAATCGTTATTGACCCCATAAGGGTTGACATGAAATGTGTCTACGACCAGGTATTGACCGACATTATATCACCTGTGAGTGTATAGACAGGTTTGTTTGTCTCATTGCTGGTATGATAGGCAATGTCTTCCTCAGGTGATTTTTTATGCATTGGGAAAGTAAATCTCGTGTTACTTCAATATGGGGTCAGTAATTAAATAATGTAACAAGGATGATTATGATATAGAGGAAGAAATGACGCTTTCTTGTTGTTAACATTTTATAAAGTATAATTGCCACCCATCACATTTCGCAGTTGATAATGTGTCATAGCTTTGAGAAAAGGGAATAATACAGATATCAGATCTCTCACTTTTGGCTGAAAATGCCATCTTGAATAAACATGATATAACTTACTTCAGTACTGTTGTCTTCTGTTGTAATGTGTTGTTGTGTTTAAAGGGACAGCCAATCTGATACAAATTCTGAGGCTTCTCAGGGCGACGATATAAGCCCTACTCCTGCCCATGAAGTGGACCTACATATGTCACAAACGGAAGGTAAGTTCACTCCCTTCACTTAAATAAGGAATTCTACATGTCACAGTGAGGAGGTAGAGGAATTTTGCATGTCACAGAGAGAAGGTAAGTTTACTCCCTCCACTTACATGAGGAATTCCACATGTCACAGTGAGAAGGTAAGATTTCTCCCTCCACTTACATGAGGAATTCCACATGTCACAGTGAGAAGGTAGAGGAATTCCACATGTCACAGTGAGAAGGTAAGTTCACTCCGTCCACTTAAATGAGGAATTCTACATGTCACAGAGAGAAGGTAGGAACTCAATAATTAAACAAGAAATTACATCTTTCACAGAATGTAAAATCTTAATAAACCGAATCTGCACCTCTGACAAGAGTAATAATATCAGTAGAATTCACTTGATACATAGGACATATATAAGCTGAACAACACACAATGATACTCTTTCTCTGATGTTAGTTATGAGGATATCTTTAATTCTCTTCCTTTCTGTTATTAACAGGTGACTTGTCCAGCTCCCAGGATGCTGTGGTTTTAGAGGAGGAAGAAAAGGTTGCCCCGGTGATCAGTCTGGAATCCATCAAAAGAGTTGTGTCCTTTAGTCAGAGCTTCAGTGAGTCGCCGGCCGAATGTCTGCCGATGTCACAGCCTCAAAGTAAGTACGAGAACAACACTTAAAAAGAGCACCCTAATCCCCATTGTTTTAAAGATGATACATTTACAAAATATTTCTGATGACGTTATTGTGTGATGTATTCAGTGGAGAAGATCAATCTCAAAAATCCCCCCCAAAAAATGTTATAAAAAATCAGCTGTATCAGTGTCGATAAACAAGGTTTCTAAAGGATTTGTCATTCATGATGTTGTGAGCAATAACAGGTTTGTATATGAACACAGATTTACTGGAACAAGAAGATTTGACATCTCAGTGTCAAGCTTGTATTGGTCATCTAAATAAGATCTTCAGTAATATTACATAAATGATGTCCTTTTCGTGGCAACCATTTTCAATACTGATTGTGAATGTAGCTTGTACAGGAACATTTCAACATTTCTCTTTAAATTTTAAGAAGTCTTAAACACGTCTCTAATATATCAAGAAGATTTTGATGAATAGATATGAATTTCAAATACTAGATAATTATTTGAAAGAGGAAAGTCTATTGCTTAAATTTGATATAGACACTTGAAATAGAAATGCTTTGCAAAATCAAGGCTACTGAAAAATGTTACTGGCCGTAGGTCGGTGGTTTTTCTCTGGGAACTCCGGCTTTCCTCCACCACCAAAATCTGGCACGTCCTTAAATGACCATAGCTGTTAATAGGATGTAAAACACAAACAAACCAAACCAAACCTTGGGTGAGGATATTTGACCAGTGTATGCTGGAATAGAGTAGTATAAAGTTTCATTAAGTCTGGAACATTTTTAAGCCAAGGATACTCAATATGTGGAAGTATTTTCAAAATCACTTTTATTGATTACAGTTTCTCATGATAGCTCAAATATCCAGGTGAGGGATACAGACCCTCGAGGCCACTTGTTTTTGGCATTCCAATAAATTTTCCACAAAACCTGGATTATTTATCTATCAGACGAGGAAATCTCATTCATTTCAGCAAAATTTAATACATGTTATGCACAAATATTGCTTTAATATTATGTGTTAGTTTGTGAATTAGAAAAGAAATATAAATCAGTTGGAGATACATGTACAAAAATGACCATTGTTCTTTAAAAAAAACTCTGCATTTTGTTGTACAGGGTCTAGCCAAGGACTTGCTGAGATGTTGGCATCTCTGGCAGAGGAGAGTTCACCAGCATGTTCTCAGGTAGCAGCGTGTCAGCTAGAGGCTCTTGAGGAAGAAGACAGTGTTCTACACAACACGTCTCAGCAACCGGAAAACGACCCTGATGGGATGTCGGAGGATGCAGAGACACTGGAGATGTCACAGAGAATGTGGGGACAGGAGGATGAGGAAGAGCCTGTACAGGGACCAAGGTGAGACAGTCTGTCAGGATACAGCTATAAGTGGTCATCACTTGGTATCGGCAAAGGGTCTGTGTTTCCCTGTCCTTAATGTCAGATTGTATGACTGTTTCATGTCAGATTGTATGACTGTTTCATGTCAGATTGTATGGGTGTTTCATGTCAGATTGTATGACCGTGTTTCATGTCAGATTGTATGACTGTGTTTCATGTCAGATTGTATGACTGTTTCATGTCAGATTTTATGACTATGTTTCATGTCAGATTGTATGGGTGTGTCTCATGTCAGATTGTATGACTGTTTCATGTCAGATTGTATGACCAGGTTTCATGTCAGATTGTATGACCGGGTTTCAGGTCCTATTGTTTTGTTGTGTTTCATGTCCTATTGTTTTGTTGTATTTCATGTCCTATTGTTTTGTTGTGTTTCAGTGGCATTGGTGAGCGAGACTTTAACTGGTCAGGGATGGATGACACTTGGAATGACTCTCAGTTGCATGAAACCAACAATGAAGAGGATGACGATGAGATTGATGAAATTATTCCACAATTTGATGGAGCTGCTGATGAAAAACCAGGTAAAATTTTAAAATCACATCTTAGAAAGGGATACAAACTGTTATATTTTACAATTAAAATAAGGAAAAGAAACTAAAAAACCAGAAACCTATTGATTATTGCAAAAACAAAATTGAAAAGCAAATATTTGAAATGGATTAAAATTGACTAAATATACAACGAATCTTGTTAATATTGAAGAAAGGGGTGTTTTTGTTTAGTTCTATAATTGAAGTTATCAATATGTGTTTTATACATAATAAATGTGTTTTTTCAGCAAAATCCAAAGCCAAGAAAATGCAGGAAGTTTCTGGACCTGTCATGCCTACCTTCAACCAGATGGGACAACAGGGTCAGGGCCATCAACCATATCAACAGAATCAAGGCCAATATCAAAACCAATCCCAGCAAATGATGTTTGAAGATAATTCCCAGTTTATGTATGGGAATCCGGGAAACTCATCAATGCAGTATAATCAGGGATACCAACAACAGCAGGGGTATGGCTGTAACTATGGCATGGATAACAGCTACGGAAACCATGGTGCTGAAAACTATGACAGCAGTAGATGGGGTCAAAACTTTCAACAGCTACAGGAAATGTCACCTCCACAGAATAACATGTCCATGTCCTGGGGTCAGGGAAACCAGGGCTGGGGAGGGGATAACTCTATGTCTAGCCCTAGTCCAGCACAGCACATCCCTAGGGTAGAGCACCAGTCTACTACAGACACTGTCTTGTCACCACTAGAGACAGTCAACTCACCAGTGCTCCACTCGCCCCATTCCTCTCTGCAGTCACCACTGTCCACACGACAGTCACCTACCCTGCAATCACCCTCAGCCTCCATGCCTTCGCCGCAGTCTCTCGCAACCATGCAGCCACTGCAACCCCTGCAATCCCCCACAGCAACTTCAACCAACACCTCGCTGGACACCAGTGACAGCAGGGGCTCTCAGCTCACGCCCATGCAGCCCGCTCCAATGTGCATGGGTGACTACTCTAGTGCTGACAATCATGGCTATAACAACTATAACCAGACCTTTTATGGGAACCAGTCCAGTGGGGACTTCAACACAGGGACATATATGAACCAGTACAACCAGGTAACAGATCAACAGGGTGGAGGACAAATACCACAACAGAATTACAGTCATGGTGGTTACCAATACAACCAATATCATGGAAACCACCAACAATTGCAGTCACATCCAAACCAACAACAATGGCCACAGCAATTCCATGGCAACCAGGCACCAATGCAGGGGCAGTCACACGGTAGGAAGAAGCAAGGCAATCAGAATGCTGGAGGGAAATGGACCAATGCTAATAAAAGTACAGCAAAGAGAGGCAGGAAAACTAAAAAAACACAGCCTTTGCTGGGCACACCACAGGTCAGTTCAGTGTCATTAAAGACCGTCCCAGGCCAGGTTTCAACTAATAAAGTCAGAGCTCAGCCATCAGATGAACAGACCACTAAACCCCAGAGTACCCTAGAGAGACTTTTGCTTGGGGATGAGGATGAGGACTGCTTGAGTCTGACAGAGCCTGGGCAGAGGAGTGTTAGTCGGTGTTCCAATATATCCACAGCTTCCTCGCGTACGTCTGTTGGACCAACAACACCTAATGTTGGCCCACTCACCTCGCCCCTATCGCCATATGATGTTAAAGGCCAACCCCAGAAAGTTGCTGATCTACTCACTCAGGTGAAGCCTTCCAGTCAAGACTTGCACAGGCGGTCATCCTTGGGGGAGAATACTTTAGATTCTAGTCAGTTATCAAATTCATCTCTTCTTGGAAGTCAGGAAGATTTGTTCATGGATACATCATCAAAGTCACAGTCATCAGTGTTATCATCTCCTGTTCAGGACATGGCCATTGCAAATTCATTTTCAAAACCATCCTCTCAGACATCACAGAGTCCAAAACTTAACAACCAAAGTAATTTTCAGGGATCTGCTGTCACTGCAGGAAGCCAACAACAAGGAAAGAAATCTGACACATTTTCCTGTCTTCAAAGTCTTCAAAGTCTGGTCTCCAGTGTCAACAAAGACCCTCGTTTTGGTGTCAATGTTCATCAGGAGGGACAGTTAGGAAATTACCAGTCACCAGGTCAAGGTCAGCCATCTCAAAGTCACCAAGCTCATGGTCAGTTATCACAAGGTCATCAATCACAAGTTCATCCAGTTCAAGGTCACCAGCCTCAAAGTAATCCATCTCAAGGTCACCAATCACAAAGTCATGTATCTCAAGGTCAACCAATTCATAAAGGTCATCCACAAACTCAACAAGGTCATCAGAGCCACCAAAGTCATTCTGGCCATCCTGATCTTCATGGCAATATAGGCTTTCAGCAGTTCTCTCCTCAGTACAAACAGATGTGGAGCGATTCTCAGTCTAGCATGAACACATATCATCAGCAGCCCCATAATTCAGGTCATCAACAATTCAATCCATACTGGAATAGACAAGACAGGATTCAAATGTCTCAAGGTAACTATTCACCTGTGAGTAATACTAGTAATCCACCCTATGGCATGAAGGAGTATAGCACATCAACCCATGGCTCTATGAAGTTTCCAGGGAGTATGAGACATCCAACATCAGCACAGTCTGTGGGAACACAGTCACCAGCAGGGAGGCTGTCACCTAAGCTTGTTCGGTCACTCTCTGTTATCAAAAAACGTGGAAGACCGCGAAAGTATGATACACCTTCAAATGTACCAAATTCAACGTTTCCACTAACTCCCCAGAGTCCAACCCCCACACAGCCTAGGAGTAGGTCTAACTCTGTTGTGGACAAGATTCCTATAGTAAAGTCAGCAGCTTCTAATGCTTCATATACATTTTCATTTCAAGTGCCAACTCCAGTATTCAAACGTTTAAAATTCCACAAGAAAAGGCCGTTGGACAGTTCAAACACGGTTAAATTTGTCAGAATGCATCCAATGGATGCTAGGCGATATAGCTTGTTGAAAATTGGACGGGAAATTGTGAAAACACAAAACTTATCAACCCTAGACATAGAGAAGGCCATAAAACGTATTCGTGCACAGAATATAGCCAGCTGTACCAAGACACAAGCTGCATATTCAGACACTGGTGAGCAGCCTGTTTCTGATAATCAGAAGAATGCTCCTACAGATATGTCTTACATGCACCATCCAGGCAATACTCTAGCCCAAGATCTGTTTGGAGTTGTACCAGAACCCAGGATGTCTGATAACTCAGGGCCAAATGCACCATGCCAACAACCAATTCCAAAAATTTTATCATCCACAGAAACTACAACAGATTTTACCAAAAAATGTGATACTGGAGAAAACCATGTTGAAGAAAACCATGCTGGAGCAAGTCCACAAAACCAGTCATTGAAAGCTAAGTTATCTGAGAACATCAGCAATCTACACCTGAAGAAAATGTTGCATGAACGTATGGCTATCAAAGATGGAAATAGACCTTGTACCTACACAGGCAGTCCAAATTTCTCTGATGAGTATAGAGGCCGACCTCAACCAACCCATCATACCATCAGCAGGGAGGGCCAGGAATCCAGGGGAAACATGTCAAATCAGCCAAGACCTGAGCCTGTTCAGGGACATAATTCCAGGTCACCACCATCATCTACAATAAAAATGTGCCAATGTGATATGGGAAAATGCATGTGTCCAAAAGAACAGGATGATATTGCTCAAAATGACCAGAAAATGGATGAAAATGACATGAAAAATGGAATGGAGGAAAGTCTTCCTGCTCAAGGTTTAAAAGGTGGATCTCAGACACCACAGAAAAGTTTCTTCAGTCAGTTTCAGAATTTCTTAAGCAAAGGATACAGTTCGTCTGATTCTGATACCGGGAAATCTCAATGCAAGGAAACGATTGCCTCAAAGGAACGATTACCAAAACAAGAAAATGGAGATCAACAAAACAAGACTTGGGATGATCCTCAAAATTCTCAAAACTCTGATTTTACTGCTAACCATAAAAATGAAAAGGGATTTCATTCTACTCAAAATAATGGATGTCCTGGTAATAATGGAGAGCATGTGACAGGTGATAATGCTGCAGACTTCAAGTCAAGTGATTTTAATTCAGGAGGTCACAGGTCAGGAGGGCAAGTAACAAAAGGTTACGTGCATGAGGGCCACATATCAACAAGTGAAAGGCCAGGAGGAAACACATTCAGAAATCACATGCCTGAAAGCCAGATGTATGGAAATCAGAGGGCAGATGGTCATATAACAGAAAGAACCATGATGGGTGGTCATGGGCATCCAGGTCAAATGCCAGTGGATCATATGCAGGGTCAAATGTCAAGTCAGATGCCAGGAGGTCACATGTCAAGAGGTAATTTCCAAGAAGGATATATGATGAGAGGTCATGCACCAGGGAGCGTACCTAGAGTTCATGTTCCAGGGAGCGTACCTAGAGGTTATGTTCCAGGGAGCGTACCTAGAGGTCATGTTCCAGGAAGCGTACCTAGAGGTCATGTTCCAGGGACGATACCTAGAGGTCATGTTCCAGGGACAATACCTAGAGGTCATGTACCAGGGAATAATCCACCTAGAGGGTATATGCCAAATAGTCGAATGCCTGGATCCAACATATCTTGGGATCACATGCCAGGTCGAGTCATCACAAGTCAAATGCCAGTAGATGACTTGTTAAGAGGGAATGAAGTAAATGGTAATAAGAGAGATGAATCTGGGAACAGCATACCAAAGTCTGTACACAACTTACCTCCAATTGCTGCAAACTCAACAGAGATGGAAAAGATTGAAAAACAGAACACCGGTAATTTTTTAGGGCTTAGTGACCAGGGGGGCTGTCCCTCTGGTCACAAAACTCAATTGCCTGAGAAGAAAGATTTTCACAGAGCTGGCCATCCTAGTGTCACACCAAGAACTGGGGTGCGCGAATATTCTCACAGTAGAAACATTTTTGAAAAACTTTTGAATTCTAAAATCTTAAGTGATGACACTGAACCATTTGTTAATAATGTTCAACAAGAACAGCAAAGAGATGAGCTACAGGATATGAATATTAATGATCATGTGACCAAATTCACACATTCTAAATTCCATCCACAGAAGAATGATCATGGAAATGAGTCACCCACTAAAGTCCCTTCTTATGGGGGTAAGCATAGTGCTAATTTTAGTAATATCATTGAACAGGTACTCATGACATCAGCGTTGAAGGACAAATTAGACGATAAACATGACAGGAAAATGTTCCAAAGAGATAGAGTTGATGGGGGGTGTTTAGTGTCAGCTGCTGTAGGTGTACACGCCAATGAAGGACTTCAGGACATAAGACTCAATGACAAAAATCTGAAGGTCATCAGGCGAAGGAATCTCTCCACAAAGAGGAGGTTCAAGATCACAGCTAATGGCCACATTCACAATGTGTCTCCTGTTATAGACCCAGATGGGGAGGAAATCCAGAATGTCATACTGAAGGATGTCAATCTGACAGAGGCATCAAATGGAGTCCTAACTCCAATCACCAGCCAGACACCTGTCGCAGGTCGCAGTCCAATACGTCACAACTGTAATGGTCTTGGCCTAGAAAACTACAAACTGTTTGATTCAGATATCATCTGTAGTCGGAACGAACTGGAAGCCAAGTTAAGAACACTAAAGAGTGAGTTAGAACTCCAACCTTGTCAGTCTGTCAAAAATTACTGTCTGGCTGAGAATGACCTTACCCGTCAAGGTCGAATGGAATCGCCAATCTCAGCATCTTGGTCAGGGCTGTCATCGCGGACAACTTCTAGAAAGGATTCTTCAGAAAGTTCAATGAGTGCTCCTGACATATCTAAAACACAGCTGAAACCACGGAAAAGGAAACTGTCCTGTCTAGCAAGAGATGGAAAACAAAGTCACAGACTTTCCTGCCAAGGAACCAAAGCAACAAGTACTGAAAACTCGGGGAGTGATATGGATTACACATTTGAGAAAGAAAATAAAGAATTAAAAAGAACAAAACGTAAGAAGAAGAAAAAGGAGGTGGCAGGAATAGATTACATTGTGATTGGAAGGTTCAAAGGTCATCGTAAAATGGCAGTGTGCCTAGAAAGACTTGAGATTGGTCAAGATGAAAGTGTAAATGTGAATGACTTTTTAGTGACACAACAAAAATGCCTGAATCACTCTATCAACAACAGAACTTCAGACTTGGCCAGTGGAAAGGAACAAGACTTATACATAAACCAGTCATCACGCTGCCACCACAGCAGGAAATGCAGTAGTGATAGTTCTGAAGAATCTTCGTATCAGTCTTCTTGTCAGTCATCTCCTGAAAAAAATCCAAGTTTGAGAGCAGAAACCTGTGATGACTGGTCAAACGATAGTAAAGAGCAGCAGGCTGATATTGATTCTGATGATCCTAAATCATCTAAAAGCAATAGAAAGAAAAAGAAGCTTACCAGAAACCAGAAACTTCAGATAGCCTTCCTGAGTAAAAAATCACGCCGCAAGAAAACACCTAGTGGTGGGAAATTGATGAACAGTCTTTCTTTACTTCATGAAGCAACAATAGCGAATCTGAACGACACTAGACTTTCTTACAATGAAAACACTGAGGACATCAAGGTCAGATATGAAGATGCCATGTTTAGGATGTCTTTCCTTTCATCTTCTGATTCAGACAAGGGAAATATTTCACCTCCTCTGCCTTTGTCCCCGGAGGAGCTAGCACGTGACCATCAAGGTCTGACACGCTCAACATCAGAGGCTCAGAGTCCTGTCTTGCCTGCCAGTGATAACAGTCTGTCACCCATCTACTCTACAATGCAAACAACTTTGAGGATGAAAAACTCCTCAGGAAGTGATTTGTCCCCAGTTTATCAGCCACTTATGAACCAGGTCACTATGTGTGATGCTGACTTCAAGCCATTTTCATCAGTGAGTCTGAGAAGTCCTTCCTCACAAACTCCAGCATTTGGTCTTGGTCAGGATGATAGGGTGGCCACGTCTTTCATAGACTTCAATTCAGGGAACAGCAAAGATTGCGATGAATCACAGAATTCAAACTCGAGTGAAAATTGTTCAAAAAAAAACAAGTTAAAGGAAGCGGTGATCAGATTGACACCATTATCAGCGGCAGACATTGAGAACTTTTGTGGGAAGTCAAATGAAGCCAATCCCTCAAACCTGGAGAGAGTTAGTTCTTCAGTTTATGAGAAACAAAGCTCAGGATCTTCAAGTGAAGGATCCAACTCACCACCAGACCTTGGACCTCCAAACATACCTAAATATCCCAAGACTGGTCCTACTAATGACAACTCAAGATCTCCACCTCTTCTGCTGTCCACATCATCACCGAACACATCTCAGATACTCAGGACACCTCAAAACCACATCGGGTTTGGCTTGTACGAGCACAAATCCCCAGTAAGTAGTTGCAGTAATGGGTCGCTCAATGTTGTCCACAGTGATCGGTTCAGTGATATCAGTGATGATGAAGAGGATCTGCACCTACAACTGGAGGTTAATGATGAGGATAATCAAATAACTAGTAATAGTGAGGAGGAGACGGCTACCTCGTCACCATGGATACCAGATTCATCCAAGGTGAATGGTGGAGGTGTACCTTGTATGTCCGAATCAGGATCTGACAGGGATATGCCATCTCTTGTCAAAGAAATGATCAGCATTGAAACAGTGGACAACTGTGTGTGTGTTGACAGTTTAGTGAGGAAATGTGTCGGACAAGATGATGCCTATCCTTCAAAATATTCAGCTGGCCCTTTGAAAGATTCCAATTCAAGTCAGTCATTAGGGACAAGTTTTAAAAATTTAGAAAATAGAAATTTGGATAACAACACGAAACAGTCATATCCCAGTGAAGAAAATGAAAGAAATTTCAATGAAGGAAGATGTTGCAAAGTGTTGACTCCAGATATTTTACCACCCAGTCGGAAAATGGTGCAGAACACCGCCACTAGTCATGGGTTGAACTCGACAGAGATTGTAGGGGCCTACTGCAGTAATCCAGAGGATTTACCAGAGCGACCAAGGTAAGCAGGAGGTATTCAATTAATCATCTGGTAAAGTCGAAATGAAGCCACATGTCAGCTGTTAGTCTAATATCCCTGCAGATTCTGTTACAGAATCCAGTTTAATCATTTTTGTAGAAAAGGAGACCTATTTTCTAGTATATTTTACAGATGTGTTATTTTTGGTACACTGTTCAGTATTTGTTTATTATTTATTATTTAAACATCATATTTGATATTGTACCCAAATCTTTGTTTAATCTTGCTTAGATATGAAGAACAGAAACAAATATCTTTAAAATATTGTCAAGCCATGTAAATGAAAAGCTGATTAGCGTACATGTTAAAGCAAACATCTTGCTATTTTTTTAGAGTAAAGTTGGTTGATGGTTCTGTTAATGTCTTGGGTATAGTATCAAATTGATAACTATATTGTATTATAAAGCTTTTCTTTATCAATGAAACTTTGACAAATGTTGATCTTCATCAGTGCAAATTTCTTTTTTATCTTTTCTATGAAAGAAAGTATAATAGCACGATTGATTTGCATGCTTTTTGTGTCCTTTGTAGGGAACTGGGTGGGCGAGTATTAGAAGTTCAGTCTACCAGGGTGAGCCAAATAGTCATCTAAAATCTCTTCTATATCTTCAGTCAGCCTTATTCTGTATCTATTTGTCAAAAAATGTTAAATACTGAAAAAAGAGACATTTTCAAGATTATTTATTTGAAAAGTGTTATGACTTCTTACTGTGAACCAAGTATAATTTGTAGGTAGGAGAAATGTAGATTTTTATGTGAATACATTTCATTAGCTTCTTACTGCTTGATCTTGTAATGTTGCAATCAAATTATTTTATCAAACATAACTGCATGAAGTTGTCTGCCCTTTTGTAGAAGCAGCTATAATGATCTATATGTATTCTTATATTCTAAGATGTTATTCTAATCATCTAATAATGTTATTCTAATCATCTAATAATGATGATCTAATGGAAATTCAAGCAATTGCTTTTTTCTATTTTGTTCATATATTCCATCTTGAAAAAGCTGATAAACTTACAATGGTTTGAGTATTGAGGTTATAATCAGAACTGCCCCCATCCTTGACTGGGCTGTCACAAGTCCAAACATCAGCAAACCTTAGTTATGTATGCCGTGTGTTCATGCTGAGCGACTGAAGGTTTTGAGGAATAGTACACATTAGCATGACGTTATGGTTTTGCTTGTGCATAGCAGATTTACTTCTAGCTCACTTGCAGGCACAAATTGCTTCAGTGCCTTTAAGCTTATGTCATGGCAAAGCATCCGTCTGTCAACATTTTCATTTCTTCACCAGAGCTTTTAATAAAGGTGGCCAAACCTGATGCAAATTTTCCTGAAACAATGCTAACAAAGTGCTGTTCAGGAACAATTCAGTATCCATGGTCACTACCCAAGCCTCTGTAACGTTTACCCCTTTGTTAGTTTCGCCATGTTAATCTCTTAATCAAATTAAGTACAAAGGGGGGAAATACCTCATTCAGATGAAGCCATTATCTAACTAGAGGTTCTGCAATCTCACTAATGCAAAATTAAAAAAACCAATACTGATCATTTCTCAAAGTTAAAGCCCCTGACAAAAAATTTAATACCATGTGAGCTCTTTAGTCCCCCTGAGCCTATTGTTTGCATGTAGTTGATTGATCAGTTGTTTTCCTGTGTTTTGTATTCATTCTATTATACAGTTATTAGCCCCCCTGGCCGAAGGGCAAGTGAGCTTATGCTGTGGCGCAGCGTCCATTGTCCGTCATCGTCGTTAGTCGTCCGTCGTCAACTTTTTCTTTAAAACGCATCTCCTCCTAAATGCTAAAGAGGATTTCAACCAAATTTAGTCTGAAGCATCACAAGGGGAGGGCAATCATTTCTTAAATAAATGAGGTTGGTTTGACTCCTGGGGCCAGGGGGATGGGGCCCTGAAGGGGAACTTAGCTAAATTTGCTTTAAAATGCATCTCCTACTTAACGCCAGTGAGGATTTCAACCAAATTTAGTCTGAAGCATCACAAGGGGAGGGCAATCATTTCTTAAATAAATGAGGTTGGTTCGACCCCCTGAGGCCAGGGGGGGGGGGCCTGAAGGGGAACTTAGCTTCTCCGACGAAACGAGAAGATTTCAACCAAATTTGCTCTGAAACTTCATTTGGGGAGAGCAATCATTTCCTAAATAAACGAGACTAGTTCAACACCTGGGGCTAGGAAAACCGGGCTCCAAACAGGAAAATTATCTAACATTTTGCTTTAAGATGCTAATACTCCCTAATTGCCTGAGTGGATTGTACAAAATTTGTGAGCTTATGCCATACAGTGGCATCCGTCGTCTGTCCGTCTGTCGATGGAATTTAACTAAATTTGACTGGAAGCATCCCTAGGTGGTGGGGATTTAAAATTGTACAAAGGGTTGGGCTGCCCCCCAGGGGGCTGTCCGTCTGTCGATGGAATTTAACTAAATATGACTGGAAGCATCCCTAGTTTGTGGGGATTCAAAATTTTACAAATTGTTGGGCTGTCCCCCCAGGGGGCTGTCCGTCTGTCGATGGAATTTAACTAAATATGACTGGAAGCATCCCTAGTTTGTGGGGATTCAAAATTGTGCAAATGGTGTGGCTGTCCCACCAGGGGGCTGAGGGGCGGGGCCAAAAGGGTTATTTGGCTATATTGCTACAAATGACTTCTTCTGTAGAACTATTCACTGGATATCAATCATATTTAATCAAAAGCATTCATGGGAGGCAGGGATTCAAAATTGTACAAATGGTGTGGCTGACCCACCAGGGGGCTGAGGGGCGGGGCCATAAGGGTTATTTGGCTATATTGCTTTAAGCGACTTCTTCTCTGGAACTAAGAGATGGATATTAACCGTGTTTGACTGGAAGCACCCCTAGGTGGTGGAGATTCAAAATTGTACAAATGGTGAGGCTGACCACACAGGGGGCTGAGGACGGGTCCAAAAGGGGTCAATTTGGCTATATTGCTATAAACAACTTCTTCTGTAGAACTATGCCATGGATATCAATATAATCATATTTGGTCAGAAGCATTCATGGGAGGCAGGGATTCAAAATTGTACAAATGGTTGGGCTGACCCCCCGGGCTAAGGGGTGGGGCCAAACTATTACTTGGAAATGGTTGAGATCCCCACCATATAACCATATATACAATTGCAGAGTATAAAGAGAAGAATGCACATTTGCTTCCAGGATGGCCCTAGGGTCTGGCCCCACCCTTGGAGACATAGTCCCTGGGCCATAACTTTAAAATGGTCAAGATCACCACCGTAAAAATATATATACAAATGCTGGGCATAAAGAGACAAATGCAGTCATGATATTAGAATAGACCCTGGGGTCTGACCGAAGCCCTTGGTACCTAGTTTCTGAGTCACAGCTTGGAAACAGTTGAGATCCCCACCCCATAACCATACATAAAATTGCTGGACATGAAAAATCTAATACAGATATGCTACAAGGATTGGCCTTGGGGTCTGGCATATTCCCTTGGATCTCATTTGGAAAATATTTTGCCATGATTGCTTAGATATCCAGGTGAGCGATACAGGCCCTATGAGCCTCTTGTTATGGTTTTTCATACTTTAATTCTTTATATCTTATAAGATTTGATTGGGTTAAGTCTAGGTCAATTCTTTATGTCTGATAAAGTTTAATTGGATAAACTGTAGGAAAATTCCTTTATATCTTTTAAGGTTTGATTGTGTAAACTGTGAGTAAAGTCAGTATTTGATTAGAGTTTGTTCTAATGAATGGAATTAAAATTATATTGACACATCTTAATATAACAATTAAACAGTTAAAAGATTTAAGCATAGCTAGATCTTGTGTTAAGAGGTTTCCCTACCCACTATATTAGTGTACACTGTTAGATAGGAAGGGAAGTACTTCAACTTTAAATTTCCATTTCAGGTGAAAGACTTTGACGAGTTTTGCAATTATACAGAGTGTGAAGGGCTACTGACTTGGAGGAACAGGATGATGGCACACGACCAGATAATTCTTAGTCAGTCAGAAAATGAAACACTAATGAACAGAATAGAAAAAGATCCACAACTTCGCTATGCACTTCTGGGTGATAGATCTGTTATTATTTCCCCTTGTAATCTACCCCCAAGTACAGACAGTGTTAAGAAATGGATATGTGGGAGGAAAGTTTGGAAAGATTTGAAGAATAAGGAAAAACAGTTTAAAATCGATATAAACAAAAAGACAGATGAAAAAAGACATTATGAGAGACATGTAGAAAATTCTGAAAATAGAAGTTTTGGATATCAATCAAGTTTAGGTAAAACACTGACCAAAGAAGATGATAAAATTAATCAGACAGATATAATTGACACTTGTGGGCAACACAGCAAGCCCTTGTCTGAAACAATAGATCAGAATGACACAACCAATGAAGACACCAAGGACAGTAGGCAACAGGACATCCCCCGAGCGCTGTTTATGGATGGAGATAGTCACGGCTCGGATGATGATGAGGAGGACGACGACGAAGTGATCGGCCCTTCTCCACCCTCGGGTTTAAGGTTGTCCCAGTTTTCGAGGTCCAGAATCACTAGTTCCCAGTCTAAGAACTCACCTGTGTTGAGCCACAGCACACCTTTGACTGAGACTGAGGTTTTGAAGGATGACCTTGGTCACACACCTGTGACCCCAGCCTCTGTAGTAGTTCACTCACCTTTGATGCCAGGGATCATGTCTGGGGTGTATAATGACAACCTCACAAACACACCCGTGCATGGTAGGCGAATATCACATCTCTTTAACTCGGCATCCACACCGGTAACATCAGGAAGCAAACCTTGTGCTACAAGTACTCCGAGTGAGAACGGCAAATTGCAGGCTGTCAGCGCAGATAAAACTCCTGGTATATTTGCCACACCAAAAAGGGTGCCACTACCCCGGAGAATATCATCTAACACACAGAAGTCCCTACAGCAGGCTCTCCAGTCATCCCAGTTACAGGTAAACCTAGCTGACATAGTAAATAAGGTATTCTGATCGGTATACACTTGCACCGCATATATAAGGTATATCGGGAAATGTTCGCTGCAGTTTGATTTTTGCCTTTTAGCCCTCATTACGAATTTATCATTACAGCAAATATAAGTTAACAGCATAATGTACATAGTAGATAATGTGAAGAGCGAAATTAACACTGAGTAAAAATTGGGGGGGTTTTGGCGAAAGTTTGACTGGATGAAATTTCCCTGTATACGGTACATTTGTATTATAAGACTCATCATGCCCAGGGATGTAGGATAGGGAAATTCCACCCAAGGGGTTTTCAAATTTGGTAAAACCCGAGGCTTTAGATTTGAAAATCCTGAGGAAGGAATTTCCCTATCCTACAACCTTGGGCATGAAAGAGTATTTTTCTCTCATTCCAACCACCAGAGTGGCCACCATTTTGAAAATATCAATTTTTTTCTACTGAGCTTTTTAGACAAAATCGAATTAGCCAGCAATATATAGCATATGCCATATTTGCAAACGATGTGTGTGCAGAAAAATTGATCACATCTTTCTAACGTGTACGGTCAATATATCGTAAAAGGTTTTAATTTCATCACGTCGCCTTTTCCGCATTGCGGCATCAGAGAATTCCAAATTTGTGACGACACGTCATTGTTGAGCCATTGTGATGTCACATCACGTGAAATGGGGTGTAAGATAGAAATTTCCTACACCCCTTTCTTACCCTGGACAGCTCTATCTTACACACAGGGAAATGAGAGAAATACATATACATAATTCAAAAGATTAAATCCCCATGTGAAGTGGGTAAATAAAGAAGAAATAAGGTATAATGACCAATTTCAAAACACACGAAATGTGTTTTGAAGTTGGTTGTAATACCTTATTCTTTCTATATATTGTATGTATAATAAATGAAAGCAATCCAATATTACAGTTTGATTATTTAAAAAATAAATCAATAAAATTGTTGTTTATTGCAAATTCGGTGCATACCATCAGCACGTATCTGACAATTTAAAGCATTTAAAAAGGATGGATCGATTCAAAGAAATGGAAAATAGTTCACTTTAGATTTTTGTTTGTACATTCCATGATACTGAAACCTACAATAATTTCTAATCTTTGTTACAATGATATTTTGATCACAATTATTTAACAGACATGTTGATTCTGTTTTCAGCAATTTGCTACTCCAACAGACCAGAAGGGTCACACGTCACAGATAGATGGTCCCACTCCACAAAACTCGTTTGGGTTCAAGGTCAGCCAGGACAACCTGAAAGGAGCTAAGGCGCTCCATGAGGTGTGACAACATTTAACTACCTCTACACCTCTCCTCATCAATCTCTACACCTCTCCTCATCAACCTCTACACCTCTCCTCATCAACCTCTACACCTCTGCTCATCAATCTCTAAACCTCTCCTCATCAACCTCTACACCTTTCCTCATCAACCTCTACACCTCTCCTCATCAATCTCTACACCTCTCCTCATCAACCTCTACACCTCTCCTCATCAATCTCTACACCTCTCCTCATCAACTTCTACACCTCTCCTCATCAACCTCTACACCTCTCCTCATCAATCAAACACTTCTTGGGTTGTGTCTCAAAAATTCCATTTTTGTAGAAATGCCCAATGAAATATATACTGTAAAAGCATAATATTTTGTGGGGGATTGTATTTTGTTTATTCCATGGTATTATAAAAACCACAAAATATAATCCCAACGAAATTTNCCACAGTAACTTGTCGGTTACTCCTCCTTAACTAACAGGTGGATTTCATTGAAACTTTGCATGAATGATTGGTATCTTATGTAGTTGTGCGCTGACATTAATTTGGAATTTCAACCCTTTTTGATTGAGTTATGCCCCTTTGTGCAAATCGAATTTGTCCCCTTACAAAAACAAGGAAATTTAACCCCAACAAAAATATATGCTTTTACAGTATATATATTTGTCTGTAGTTCTAGGTCACAGAGTAGTCATGTTATCATTACACAATAATTGAAATATTTTTGAAGACAACATATTGAAATATATTATCGCAATAAAGGCATGTCTATTTCATTATAGTCTCCTAATATAAAAACAAGAAAATTTCATATTTTGATCCATTAAATGTTAATTATTTTTAAATGCAGCACATTAATTTGGTATGTTTATCTAGCATGTACTAAACACTTAATCCAACAGACCAAAAACATCCATAATAACTTTCGTCTTTATGACATAAACAAAACGTGTGTCATTGTAAACTATTTAGATATGTTTTGTTTTAGGTACAGAACCTAACAGTCCTAAGTCTGGAACTACATGCTGAGACTAGAGGTGACCTTCGACCTGACCCAGATGTCGATGCTGTTAAGGCTGTGTTCTACTCCATCTCCAATGATGTGGACCCAGCCAAGGGTAAGACGCAGGTCACTGGAATCATCATTGTGGACCATGTCTCTGCAGACGCAGAAAGGGCGCTGAAAGACAGAAGAAACGGAAGGATAAACTCTCGATCCCCGTCTCCCTCACCTATACCATCTGGATCTAACTCGGCTAGGTCAAGGTCTCCTCAGTCTTGTAGTTCTAGGTCACCAAAAGCATCTACTTCAAGGTCAAGGTCACCTTTGCCATCCACCAGTAAATCACCCCAACCTTCAACTTCAAAACATAGGAGTCCATCACCGAAACCATCCACTCCCAGAGGAAGGAGGACAACGGCCAAAGGTTCCGTCACCCCTCCACCTCGTGATTATGACAGTACTGAAAATATACCCAACACATTCTTACAGAGGTCAGGAATTGACCTTTGTGACCTTCAGGTGACCTATGTTAGGGATGAGGAGGAGTTGTACACTGTGTTTTTGGAGGATCTTATTGCAAAGTAAGTTTATTTTACTACTGTTCTTGATAAATCCTTAGTTCTATTGACTCAAATTGTTGATGGGCTGTAAAACAGTACTAGAACAAATGGACACTATGTTTGTAATTCAATTGGTATTATGGAAGGAGTTTAATCTTTTTCTCATGCTTGTTTTTCACTAATCCTTGTCGAGTTGTATACATGCTGAGCAAAAAACATGTGTTAAAAACCATGCAGTTATGATAAGTTATGCTTGCTAAAATTCAAAGTGAGTTTTATATTACATTAATGATAAATATCAGAACCTTTGTATACCTTATTGGTTCATGTTGTAATAGTAAAGCATAATATTTTAAGGTGGGACCCTGACATTCTGGTGGGCTATGAGATACAGAACTTTTCCTGGGGATACCTGCTACAACGGGCATCACATCTCAGCATACCTCTGTGTTCCAAGCTCTCCAGAATACCAGGTAAGTCGGTATACATCTAAGTTCTACAGAGTTCCAGTTAACAAATACCTGTGTGACAATGATAACCATTTGGGAACGAAAACAATTACTTTGTACAATCCATGCCAAATGTTACACAGTTCTACCTACCGTAAAATCCCAAATTATGTCAATGCTTGATGATGGTTGAATATAACAATTTAATTCCTTGTTTCTCTTTCAGGGCAGAAAACAGGAAGTCACTTCAGTGCAACGAAGGATGAGTATGGGGCTGACCACATGTCAGAGATTCATGTTGTCGGACGGATTGTACTCAACCTGTGGCGATTACTTAGGCATGAGGTGAAGTCTGAAAAAAATAACATTGTTTGGTCGTATTGTAGCCCATATCATTATGTAGGATCCTCATTCTTACCCTTTTTATGTTGTATGCTAAGGTTTAACATGTATTATTGTAGCATATACAAAGGGATGGATGCCAAAGTTATCCCCCTTTCCAACATAGATCGTTTTTTCCCCATTCCCTTTCGTAAATCTTGACAGAAAACATAAAAGAAAATAACCAGTCTTGTTTGGCCCTATTAATATTCATATTTGTGGCTAGAGCAGAGTGCATTCTATTGTCATGTACTTAATTCTGAGATTAAAGAGTAGTTTCCATGGCAGTGCTTGTGTTAAAGTATTATGGTATATGAAGGATGCAGTAGCATTAAAAGTAGAGTTCACCCCAGTGCTACATCACTTTACTGATGCTGCTTGTAAGCTCAAGACATATTAGATATGATTGCATAACCAGAAATTTTGCATTGTTTGTTAAAATAACTTTTTTATGGAACCTCGTTTTATATTTAAAAAAATAACACCTTTATGAATATAAAGTAGTGAATTGTAGTTTTACAATCTTGAACAGAACCTGCACCAGAAGTCATGTATGTATAAAAATCCTTTTGTTTGTAGGTCACATTGAACATTTATTCCTATGAGAATGTGTGTTTCCATGTCCTTCACCAGCGTGTGCCTCGGTTCTCCTTTAGGACATTGTCCAACTGGTTCAATCACAGAACTCACTTGTACAGGTAGGTGACAGTGGTTTATGGTTAAGCTTCTCACAAAGATTGGCGTGTTAATGAATCATATCGGAATAACGTTCTGTGCTACGTATATTTGTATCGATGCCAAGTTATTACAGCAAGTGAAGCTGGAGGATAAACAAGATTCTTTGTGTAGCTTTGATGAAAAAAGTAAGATGTGTTGTAGAATTTCGCATTCAATCAGAGAAGCTACTAGCTGATGAAGTTATACATTTTACTTTTCTAACATAACTCGGCTCAAAGTACTAGACATTTCTCACTGACTCATTAGTTTGAATTAAATTTGGGGAGACTCCCCATTAGATGTAGTCTGGTTATCTCTTCTTTTGAATTTCAATTACTCTTATGGTTGGACAAGTGAATTCCACCATTTAAGAAACTTGGGGTACGCAGAACTTCACCGACATTCACAGGCTGTCATTGGATCTCATTTTCCCTTGTATTTGCCCATTAGTATACAGTTAAAGTATGGGCTTAAGAAACATAGCAAGTTCTTGGTTCTCAGAGACCTGGTCTATTTGCCAATGCAAAGCTGAAGGAAATTGGCCTGCTCAAGGGAACCAGGAACTTGTATATCTTTGTATACAATGTATTGCCAAATCCTGTACTTTAAATCTTATCAGAACATTTTGTGGAAAAACTAATTCAGTTGTTATTTCATCGCGAGTGTTACCAATCATCTGTTGACAGGTGGCGGTTGATTGAGTACTACATCACTCGTGTGAGGGGTAACCTACAGCTAATAGACCAGCTTGATCTCATCGGACGTACCAGTGAATTTGCCCGTGTGTTTGGCATAGAGTTCTACCATGTGTTGTCTCGTGGGTCCCAGGTAAGCCAGGTGAAAAAGTATTTTGAACAAAATGTTTCTATCTTACATTACAATGCTAGTATCTTAAACTGTCTTATGACAACATGCTACTATCTTGCATTATCTTACATTACCATGCTAATGTATTACACTATCTCGTATGTTATGATGCTACTATCTTGCACTATTGTACATTACAATGCTATCTTTTTTTGTCCTAAATTATGATGCTGACATCTTATGTTATGATGATGCTATATCAGATGAAGATATCACTTTCTCCCAATTCAGACAATGATTTCAATAATTTGGGTCTTCGAAAGGTGTTTCCGTCTTACTCAAAGGTAAAGATGGGGGGTTCCCCCTGTCCTAACACTTTTATACTGTCACGTCAACAATAGTAGACTGAGGAATTTAACTCAGATTTGCTGGAAAGTATGAAATCAGCGTTTATATTTCATGAAATAACCACTGCTATTAGATGTAGGAGAAAAATAATCATTCTCCACTTTAGGAGTAAGACAGAAAAATCTCCACCCGCTAAGTAAGATTCTTAATAGTCTTGCCCTCGGCAAAGCCTCAGGCTAGACATGTCAACAGACTATCTAAATTCAAATTCTGATGTCTTACTTTTTCTTTCCACAGTATCGAGTTGAGTCAATGATGCTGCGGTTGGCCAAACCACTGAACTACATTTCTGTGTCCCCAAGCGCCCACCAGAGGGCGCGGATGAGGGCTCCTGAGTGTATTGCACTGACCCTGGAGCCCGAGTCCCGTTTCTATGCCGACCCAGTTGTGGTAGTAGACTTTCAGTCACTCTACCCTTCCATCATGATTGCACACAACTACTGCTACTCGACATGTCTGGGGCGCCTCAACTGGCTGGAAAAGGCACAGTAAGTTTACAGTCTTTAGACTTTCTATTTTTATTCTGCTTACATGACCAACCCATTGTGACATAGTGTTCAATTTTGTGACATAGTATTGTAGAGATATGCTGTGTTTATTTTAGTTTACAAATGCGCCTTTGTGTTCCAGTGAAGGACCCATTGAGTTTGGTTGTTCCCATCTGAAGGTTCCTCCCTCGGTCCTGAAGGTAAATATTATTGATCACCATATACTCCTTCATCACTATTCTTATCCATCTTAAACCAATACATGATAAATTAAAAATTTAAAACAATGTTATGCCTGCCACTGAAAAAAAGCACCACACATATTGTCAAGAAGATTATGCATGCTAAGCAATACTAACTAGTTATAAGCACCATGTGTAATTGTTAAAGATACAAAGTAAGAGACACTAAATAAGGTGAAGGAGTGCTTTTTGATAATATAAAGACCTAATGTATTCTAGCATGATGTAGGCAATATAAAGACCTAATGTATTCTAGCATGATGTAGGCAATATAAAGACCTAATGTATTCTAGCATGATGTAGGCAATATAAAGACCTAATGTATTCTAGCATGATGAAGCCTACTCAACTGCTTGCTTGTATGGCCCTCTTCGTTTTGCTTTCGTCTGTCTGGGCCATATCTAATGTACTTTCATGTATTTTATATCAGTTGTGAGAACACCTCAATTATTTCTGCCAACTTAGATAACCCTCTTTTACTGAAGAGGGAGTTGATGATTGTGTATAGCTGTACTGTACAAGTTTGTGGTGCACTGTGTATATGATTGTAACAGTAATACAACAGCTAATAGCTTATATGTTATAACTTTCCAGAGGCTGGAGAATGACATCACTGTATCTCCCAATGGCGTGGCATTTGTCAAGCAACATATTAGGAAGGGGGTGATCTCGGCGTAAGTAACTAAAATCCATATCTAATTTGAAGACATTGTCATGATTATAAGACCTTACAAGTATGAAATGACTAAATTTAATGTCAACATATTTTCTGTTAGTTGAGATGAGAACTGTCTTACATTACAGTATGGTAGAGGAAATCCTCAACACCAGACTGATGGTGAAGAAAGCCATGAAGGCCTACAAGGATGACAAGGTAAAGCCGAAAGCCTTTTTGTTATTTCACTTTAAAGTTAATTTCAAATGCACAGAATTTCTAGCGACACTTTATATTGTGTTATATTGCAATATTCTCTAAGACATTGCAATAAATTGCGAAATAAAAATTGCTTGCAATAGCCACTTTAAGGAGGGATTGGCATTTATAATTGGTTAGATATGGTCGGTGAAGTTACAAATATTTTCGAATTACATTTGTATAATGGGCTTTGGAAAAAATTATTGTAGGTGTTAGAGGTCATAAGTACCTGTTGCCTCCTAAGATTTAAAATGAGTGAATAACTCTGACTTAAGATTGTGACTTCTAAGAGTAAATTTTCTCTGGTTTCTAAAGTTGATTTTCTGCTGAATTATACAAATCTTTGTTAAACAGGCTTTGTATAGACTGCTAGATGCCAGACAGATGGGCCTCAAACTCATTGCTAATGTTACCTATGGATATACTGGTGCCAATTTCTCAGGAAGGATGCCTTGCATTGAGGTAATGTACTGGGAAAAAGAAACTTTGGAATATTAACCGGATTGTAAAATAAGACAAATCATTAGAAATGTGTAGCAGATAATTTTGGTTTTTGCTCTGCCCATAACTGGAACAATTATTCAATTGTCACTCATTACAACTGCTTGGATTTCTTTAAAATTGCTACAATATGTTAAATGATCTAATTGTTATGCTAGCAATGATTTTCGAGTTTTCGAATATGTCTGTTTCCTTCGACCGGTCATTTGGTGTTCTTTGCTAGACATAGGATAGGAAACAGATGTTTTTGCAAGCTCGAAAAAAAAGCTTAATTACTGTTTGTGTTCAAACTTAGTATATAATGTTTGTGTTTGTCAGGTTGCTGACAGTATTGTAAGAAAAGCCCGTGAGACACTAGAGAGGGCCATCAAGTTGGTGGAGGACACACCTCGCTGGGGGGCCAGGGTTGTCTATGGTGACACAGACAGGTAGGCAACATCTCAACATTCGGAAGAAACATTATAATAAAAGTGAAAACAGCTAAAAGAGATATGTGCCAATTACACTCTAGTAATTCTATTGAGAGAATTTATGGTATAATTTTTCTTGATTTAGTATTTAATTGCATGCTTTTGTCGTGGTGTACTTCATTGTCTATATTATGACAGACTTGGTAACACATGGCCTTTTGTTACAGTATGTTTATTGAGCTGAAGGGCCGCAGTAAGGAAGAAGCCTTTAAGATCGGCTATGAGATTTGTGATGCAGTAACAGCAGCCAATCCTAAGCCAATGAAACTCAAATTTGAGAAGGTTAGTTTATCTTTGATCATCTGGGAGGACAAACAATAATCAATGCTACATTGTGCTTTGGGATATATTCTACCTTTCATGTCGGTATTATACCTGTGATTTGTACTAGAGTTTAGGATGCACTCTACCTCAACAAACTACATGTACTAGACTTTAAGGAGGTATGCTACCTCACACATTATACTGTTATTTGTGTTAGATTTAAGGAGGTATCTGACTTCACACCTCACACATTATACCTTTGATTTGTGTCATGAGTTAAGGAGGTATCCTACCGCCCACATTATACCTGTAATTGTGTTAGATTTAAGGAGGTATCTGACTTCACACGTCATACCTGTAATTGTGTTAGAGTTAAGGAGTCATCCTACCTCACACATTATACCTGTAATTGTGTTAGAATTAAGGAGGTATCTGACTTCACACGTCATACCTGTAATTTGTGTTAGAGTTAAGGAGGCATCTTACCTCACACATTATACCCGTAATTGTGTTAGAATTAAGGAGTCATCCTACCTCACACATTATAGCTGTAATTGTGTTAGAGTTAAGGAGGCATACTTCCTCACACATTATACCTGTAATTGTGTTAGAATTAAGGAGTCATCCTACCTCACACATTATACCTGGAATTGTGTTAGAGTTAAGGAGTCTTCCTACCTCACACATTATACCTGTAATTGTGTTAGATTTAAGGAGGTATCTGACTTCACACGTCATACCTGTAATTTGTGTTAGAGTTAAGGAGGCATCTTACCTCACACATTATACCCGTAATTGTGTTAGAATTAAGGAGGTATCTGACTTCACACGTCATACCTGTAATTTGTGTTAGAGTTAAGGAGGCATACTTCCTCACACATTATAGCTGTAATTGTGATCGAGTTAAGGAGTCATCCTACCTCACACATTATGGCTGTAATTGTGTAAGGGTTAAGGCGTCATCCTCCCTCACACATTATAGCTGTAATTGTGTTAGAGGTAAGGAGTCATCCTACCTCACACATTATGGCTGTAATTGTGTAAGGGTTAAGGAGGCATACTTCCTCACACATTATACCTGTAATTGTGTAAGAGTTAAGGAGCATCCTACCTCAATCATTGTATATGTGATTTATGTTATAGTTAATGAGGCATCCTGCCTTACATACTACATCTGTGCTTTGTGTTAGAGTTAAAGATTCCTTCCCCCCCCATTAACCCTGTGATTTGTGTTAAAGTAAAGGAGGTATCCTACCTTACGCACAACACCTTTGATTCATGTTTTTCTTCAAGTAATTTCTTCATATGAATATTTCAAATATGTCTTTGGTCAATTAACCAAGCACAACTCAATGTTCATGAGTGATATTTGGATGATTTCATTATAAACAGTCAACCATATCTGAAATTCAAATGATGGATATTATATCATGAATAAAATAATTCATTAATTATCTATGAAGTCTTTGCATTATAATTTTAATTTCTTTTCTGCAGGTTTATCTCCCTTGTATCCTCCAAACCAAGAAGCGTTATGTTGGGTTTAGTTACGAGACTCCGGATCAAAAGGAGCCTATATTTGATGCCAAAGGAATAGAAACTGTAAGGAGGGATGCCTGTCCTGCTGTAGCCAAAGTAAGTCAAACTCTAGTATAGCAAAGTAAACTGCAATGAGGTAAGACATCTGGTATTACATTGTAGACAGCAGTGAGATATGATGCAGGCTGTAAAATGGTATACAATGGTTTAAACACAAGTATATGTACACATAAAGTTATTTATTATATGAATACCGTGTTATGCAGTGTCATAAAGCCATCACATAAATTATGTTTCCTTAGTATTCCAAGATAAAAAGAATCTGTCATTCGTTTCCCTTCATATTAGATGCGTAAATCTAATATGAAGGGAAACGAATGACAGATCCTCTATACACTTGCATCCCATACCAAATTAAAAGCAGTTAAATGTTATATGTTCAAATTTGAACTTACTTACAACATCATGTTATAAATGAGCTGTTTCAGATTATGATGCACACTTTTAAAACACTTCACTTCTGATGTGACTCACTAAGAAAATGTCATATTTCAGATTCTTGAGCGCACAATCAAAATGCTGTTCACGACACGTGATGTGTCCCAGGTGAAGAAGTATGTCCAAATGCAGTGTCGTAAGCTGATGGAAGGCAAGGTCAGTCTGCAGGACCTCGTGTTTGCCAAGGAGTACCGTGGTATGGCCGGCTACAAACCTGGGGCCTGTGTACCCGCTCTGGAGATATCAAAGTAAGACAAAGAGAATGCATGGAGAAGTAGAACCAGACTGATTTAACACCACATGTCCACTATGTAAAGTTCTGTTGACTTTATATATAATCAGCAAAATCAAAATCCTCAAAAATAAAATACATTCTTGACAAATACTGTTGGTCATTTATAAAAACCTCCAGATATAATAATATGCGAATAAATCAGACATATTGGAAGAAATGGTTACTCTTCTTGATCACTGATTTATGTAAAAAATAACTTTTCTAGTAATTAAAAATTATATTGTACCAGGAACGGGTGTCGTTTGAGTATAGTCTAGCTGCTCCATGTTGATTTCTACAGATATTTCTATATGTCAACAATTACCAGGTAAGCAAAAGAAGAATTAACATAACAGAACGCAGGCTTCAGGAATTGATGGTACTCTGCGTTTTTTTTTAATGTTTCTATTGTAATTAGATGTCTTTTAGTATAGTGTGTTTTCTTTTACCAGAAAGTACCTGCAGCAGGACCGGCGTGGAGAACCACGCGTGGGTGAGCGTGTGCCATATGTTATTGTATACGGAAGTCCAGGCCTTCCTCTTATACAGCTGGTCAGGGCTCCAGTAGACCTTCTCACCGACCCATCCCTCAGACTCAACGCTACCTACTACATTACCAAACAGATCCTACCACCCCTCAACCGCATCTTCTCTCTGATGGGTGTTAATGTCTTCTCCTGGTCAGTGTAGTACATTAATATAATATCTTGGCCTAATTGGCTAAACACAAATACTTCTGTTTAGTTATGTTTCCCCTTCACATGCAAGGGAGATGTATTAGTACAGCTTCTGTTTCTTGTTCTAAGAATATCTTGTCTAGGCCATAGATTTAAATTGTTAAAAATATCTTGATGAAATTTGAAGGTTACTGGTCTTTGTAACACCCAATAGAGGTATGTAGGCCATTGTAATTAGGTTACTGTAACCTTCAACTGCAGGACATGTCAAATAATTACGAAATTTTCAGTAAAAATTGCCAAGGCTTGGATAGTTCAAACCGTTGAAGATATTTTTTGTTAAGGTGGCTCCACACATCGTTATCAGCGTCCATTTTCATGACGTACTTCCGTAAAAAGTACAGCTAGGACTCAATTATCTTGATCGAAATGTGCATATACACCGTGTCGTCATTTCCGTATTGCGTATCGGGCATTCAATATCGTAGTGCAAATTATAGTAATCGATCGGACCACTGTTGTTCGTTTATTAAATAAGGTTGGACCTAGTAATCTGATGCTGCTTTCAGGCGAGCCTTGAGAAAGCCTTGCAAGGCCTGCATACACATTTGCAGGTCCGCCACGATTTATATCCGAAATTGTTACATTTATAAACGGTCAAACCGGTTGTTCCGCATAAACGATTTTACTTGGAAATGTATAATCACACGTACTTCAGGAATAAAGCTTTCCAATTCATAGACATACATGAGACCAGACGACCTCAAGAAGGTCATATAGGAAACACATGGAATGCGGACGTACCAACCTCACATGTGCATATCGCGTGTTTACACGAGTTCACAAGCTCGAGGTCGTTACGATTTTCGCTGTTGAGGTAGATTCGCTCTGTCGATTAAATCGTGTTCACAAATGTAGTCTACTAGCTTATTCTGTGAAAATAATGTTTTGAAAATATCAAGATACCTATGAAATGCATGTGTGAGTGCACGTGAGAACGGCATACCATGCGATAGCCTCTTGTCAAATATGTACCTGACATGTAATTATAAATATACCGTGAGTTAGCGGACTGTGGAATGATGTCCAAAGTGTACATGACTGAGGGTAATTTGGTTCCATTAAAGAACAATAAATTGATAATTTTGATATCATATTTTTGATTTATTTCCATCATTTTTGTTATATGTAAACAGAGACAACTGTCATTGTGTAAATGTCACCCCTCTGCAAAAAGTTCCGATTTTTTTCAAGGAAGATAACTCTCACCCGGATCAAAGTGATTGTAAAATGTAAAATAAATTAATTATAAAACCATTGTGTATATTTTGTTCAATTTCCCATTCTATATGTATAGATATTTGTGTCCTGGGTGCTTTTAGCTTGTAGATAATCACTTTTATCCATACAAATTCAATAAAAAACACTTTGTGTCACATATGTTACATATTTTGTTATAAATAAAATATTCATAGGGTTAATAAGAAATGCTTCTTTTCATTTTATTGTTGTTGTTATTGTTCCGAACAATGCCACACACAAAAAAAACACGGAAAATATTAAAATTGACGAAAATTTAACTTTTGGGTATTTTTTCCAAAAAAGTCCCCAAACAATCGGAATGTTTAGATTTTCATAAAATCAAATCTACATAGTTGCATAACCGTTATATGAAAGTTTCAACGAATTTTGCTGGTTAATTGAGAAAGTGTGAAGCCACCTTAAACACATTGAATAATTAGGGAAGCCATTTTTTAAATTATGAAAACAAATTTCTGGTCTGGCTCGACTATGTCTTTCTTACCTTGGTGAGTAAGAAATTATAACCTTAACAAGGTATATTTTAGGTATTATTTTTCCTATTAAAATAAATGTAACATATGACTTATTGGTTTATAATTCAAATAGTAAATGGAATCATGACTTAACTGTAAAGTCCTAACACTTCTGTTTTAGGTACAATGAGATGCCCAAGGTAACCAGGATTGTACCGCAGGCAGCGATGGCACCAGACAGTAAGAAGGTAACATCAAACTCCTCAGAACAAAACTAAGGTGTACACCAAAATATTTACATCTCTCCCTTCTTCAGCTTAGTAAACACTTGACTGCTTATAAATTAGCATACACGCAATGAAAAAAGGCTTGGCGGATTGATATCTGTTTCAAATATGGCCCCATTCACGCTTCAGCATGATAACTGTTCGATAACAGCCATTGTTTGGTTCCTTCAACATCTAGAAGCATGGAACATATTTGGGATCCATTATGTTTGATAATGCAAAAATTGGATGCTGGCAAAATATTTATTCCATGGATGCACATTCAAAATCCGTTGATGCTAAAGCAAACAATGGCGGCTTCCTTTTGCGACGTTCGACCGCGTCCCTACCAGAGCGGTGTGTCAACGTGTGTACATAGCGTCCGTTATAAATGAATAAATATGTGCGAAGTGTTACTAATTTTACTTAATTAAAAATTCACAAGCGATGAAAAGAAGAAAATAGTGTTGTTCACTGCATATTTTATAACTTTACCAATATATTGATGTAGATTCATGACTAGAACTTGATTATCCTAGCAACAACAGCTACTGTAGTTACATCGTAGCAACCCGCTTTGAATGTTTTATTTCTTTGTATAGCATTTAAACATTATTTATGCTGTAAATATAAGGATTGACCTGCATTTTGACGGCGTATACGGTAGTATAAATGCAGTTGGCAATGAACATATTCTATGGTGCGCTATGAACGAAGTTGGCAACGAACATATTCTGTATGGAGCGGTAACGCACACCATAGAATATGCTCGTTGCCAACTGCATTCATACTACCGTATATGCCGTCAAAATGCAGGTTAGTCTTGAATTGTACAGTATAATGGCAAACAGGCACAAACCAATAAATCTTCCATTATCAACAGATAATATTTCTATATCAAAAAGTTTTATTTGTATTTTGATACATTATTGATGTAAGTAACTACCTAGGCATACAGTGTAACATCATGCCATAACACTGATGTGATGGTTTATATTTACTGTATGAAGTGTAACATCCTGCCATAACATTGATGTGATGGTTTATATTTACTGAATGAAGTGTAACACCCTGCCATAACACTGATGTGATGGTTTATATTTACTGTATGAAGTGTAACATCCTTCCATAACACTGATGTGATGGTTTATATTTACTGAATGAAGTGTAACATTCTGCCATAACACTGATGTGATGGTTTATATTTACTGAATGAAGTGTAACATCCTGCCATAACACTGGTATGATGGTTTATATTTACTGAATGAAGTGTAACATCCTGCCATAACACTGATGTGATGGTTTATATTTACTGAATGAAGTGTAACATCCTGCCACAACACTGATGTGATGGTTTATATTTACTGAATAAAGTGTAACATCCTGCAATAACACTGATGTGATGGTTTATATTTACTGAATGAAGTGTAACATCCTGCCATAACACTGATGTGATGGCTTATATTTACTGAATAAAGTGTAACATCCTGCAATAACACTGATGTGATGTTTTATATTTACTAAATGAAGTGTAACATCCTGCCATAACACTTATGTGATGGTTTATATTTACTGAATGAGGTGGAACATCCTGCCATAACACTGATGTGATGGTTTATATTTACTGAATGCAGGGCACAATTTCACAGTTCTTCTCTGTGGTGAGCTGTCCTGTGTGTGAAGAACAGACCAATCAGGACATTTGTAATAAGTGTGCTAGTAACCCTCAGAAGGTAGCCATCACTCTAAACAACAGGATCCGTGAGTGGGACCAAGTGTATGCAGATCTTAGCAAGGTATGTAGTCCTCTGGTTATCAACCAATCGGGATGTAGTTGTATAATCATCAACCAATCAGGATTAAATTTGTCTTTAATAATCACCTAAGGGGGAGAGAAAACACAAACGCTGAAAAATGGTAGCAGTTATAGACAGGTGGTAGTGGTAGATGTTTGGTAGCAATAAACTGGTAGCAGTTACAGACAGGTGGTAGTGGTAGATGTTTGGTAGCTATATACTGGTAGTAGTTATAGACATTGGGTAGTGGTAGATGGTTGGTATATATATACTGGTAGTAGTTATAGACAGGTGGTAGTGATATATGGTTGGTATATATGTACTGGTGGTAGTTATAGACAGGTGGTAGTGATATATGGTTGGTATATATATACTGGTGGTAGTTATAGACAGGTGGTTATGATAGTTGTTTGGTAGATATATACTGGTAGTAGGTATAGACAGGTGGTAGTGGTAGATGTTTGGTAGCTGTAGACTGGTAGAAGTTATAGACAGGTGGTAGTGGTAGATGTTTAGTAGCTATAGACTGGTAGCAGTTAAAGACAGGTGGTAGTGGTGGATGTTTGGTAGCTGTAGACTGGTAGTAGTTATAGACAGATGGTAGTGGTAGATGTTTGGTAGCTATATACTGGTAGTAGTTACAGACAGGTGGTAGTGGTAGATGTTTGGTAGCTATAGACTGGTAGTAGTTATAGATAGATGGTAGTGGTAGATGTTTGGTAGCTATAGACTGGTAGTAGTTACAGACAGGTGGTAATGGTAGATGTTTGGTAGCTTTAGACTGGTAGTAGTTATAGACAGGTGGTAGTGGTAGATGTTTGATAGCTATAGACTGGTAGTAGTTATAGACAGGTGGTAGTGGTAGATGTTTGGTAGCTATAGACTGGTAGTAGTTATAGTCAGGTGGTAGCGATACATGTTTGGTAGCAATATACCATTAGTTACTAAGGTAGGTGTGAATATAGTTGTCCTACCTGTTTATCCACTTATCAAGAATATAGTTGTATCAATTGGGATAACTAAGGAAATTGTAGGTGTCGGCTCAATATTCTTTTTTTTTTGTATATTTATTTTTTTGAATAAGAAAAAAATGTATTTTAAGGGAAATTTACAAAATGAATTCTAACATACTAAAAGCAGTTGAATTAAAAGTTTAGACTGATAACATAAACATTGATTTTGTTTCATTACTGAAAACATGCTTGTTTGTTTACAGATTTGTAACAGCTGTATGAGTGTACAGGACAACAGTCAGCCGTGTATTTCCTTTGACTGTCCAATACTCTTTAGGCGCCGGACAGCTCAAGTGGACATTACCAGAGGGGAACAACTCCGATGTGTGGCTATAAAAGTTTTAGACTTCTAGACATTGTGCTTCCCAAGCAAACACTCTTCAAGTGCTGTTTTGCTGCAACAAGTCTAACCAAAGAGGAACCTCTCTGAAGCTGTCAGTAACATGAGGCTCCAGTCTACACAGGACCCAGGACTTTACATGTTACCACAGGGACTGGTGTGTTTCCATGAACCTCATCATTGTATGTGATGACCTGGGGGAGTGAGAGGAAAGGATTGTGAGCGTATCTGCTTAGGACTTACTATGATAATACATTCATGTACAGGCAAAATAACCAAATGATTCAACAAAATCTGGCTTTGACTTTCATTGTGGGAGATTTGCATTTAAAAATGTATACATGATACTGGAGTTGACAAACCTCAGCGAGTTTGGATGTACCAGACTAAATAACATGGTCTGTTAAATATGAACTGTGTCCATGTCTAGTGAAAGTGTTTCCATTGGACAAATTTTTTACCTGACATTGATGACGATACAATACAACATTTAAACCAGTGAAGTAAAGCTATAAGAGTTGAGAAACCAAAGACCTGGATGTGTTAACCTCCTATCACAGTGTAATTATTACTAATTTCTGAATGGTCTGTTTGCTGGTAAAAGTCTATAAGAAATTATTCTTTACACTGTGAACTGTGTTACATATTAGCATACAATTTAACTGAACAGAAATGTGAAGTTTCATTAAAAAATACTGTGCAGCATTTCAAAATTGCGAGGTAAAACTCTCAGAGTTTTCCCCTAAAACTGACTTACATTTTAGCATAATGTTATCATGTTAAGACAATAGTTCTGTTCCTTTATTAGAAGGGTAACACAATGATCAAGAGTTTTGTTTCTCTATTAGAAAGGCAATAATTAATAGTCAGCCAGTCAGACTGTCTCTCTTTCAGAAGGCTAACAGAATTAGTAATCAACTCTCTTGTTAATCGTAAAAAGTCCTGACTGTGATGGGAATGGTAACATGGTTGATTGTCCTAGCTATCTTTATCAAGAGGGTAAGACCATCGATAGGTATAATCCTAACGGGCCCTCTATTAGAGGGTTACCGGTTTATGGGGTTTATATTTTGCAGACTGTTCTTGTAAATAAATCCTTGACACATTACATTGTTAGTGCTTGACAGTAAAGTAAAAGATGTTTTAAGCCATATTTTGAAAAAACAACCTTTATAATCATTGACCTACCATGAAGATATTCCCCATATTAATTTGTGTTGGCACTATTGGCCTACCAGATATAAGCCACCTCCCTCCAACATGTGCTCAAAGTGTGCTAACAAGCCTAATGCATGAGAGATAGTGTGGCAGTATTGTATATATGTTGTACCTGTATACTGTGTCCAGTGTTTCAAAAGTTGTACTAGTGTCTGAATGGCCACATCCTGTGTGTTTTATATGAAAAAAAAAGCAGCTGTTGAAAGTTGAAACATACATGTATATTGATTTATCTAAATAAGGCAGCTACCTGAACTATTGAGAATATATTTTGTGTATATATGTGTAAGATGACTATAAAGAAGAATTATTTGTGTATAAATGTGGACCTTTTGATATGGTATGTGGTAATTATAATGAAAGGCTGGTGCTGGCCATATAGGGAATGTGTGGTACCTTGTACTGATATGGTATGTGGTAGTTATAATGAAAGGCTGGTGCTGGCCATATATGGTATATGTGGTACCTTGTACTGATATGGTATGTGGTAATTATAATGAAAGGCTGGTGCTGGCCATATAGGGTATGTGTGGTACCTTGTACTGATCTGGTATGTGGTAGTTATAATGAAAGGCTGGTGCTGGCCATATAGGGTATGAGTGGTACCTTGTACTGATATGGTATGTGGTAGTTATAATGAAAGGCTGGTACTGGCCGTATAGGGTATGTGTGGTACCTTGTACTGATATGGTATGTTGTAATTATAATGAAAGGCTGGTACTGGCCGTATAGTACATGAGGTACCTTGTACTGATATGGTATGTGGTAGTTATAATGAAAGGCTGGTACTGGCCGTATAGTACATGTGGTACCTTGTACTGATATGGGATGTGGTAGTTATAATGAAAGGCTGGTACTGGCCGTATAGGGGATGTGTGGTACCTTGTACTGATATGGTATGTGGTAATTATAATGAAAGGCTGGTGCTGGCCATATAGGGCATGTGTGGTACCTTGTACTGATATGGTATGGGGTAGTTATAATGAAAGGCTGGTGCTGGCCATATAGGGGATGTGTGGTACCTTGTACTGATATGGGATGTGGTAATTATAATGAAAGGCTGGTACTGGCCGTGTAGTACGTGTGGTACCTTGTACTGATATGGTATGTGGTAGTTATAATGAAAGGCTGGTACTGGCCGCATAGTATGTGTGGTACCTTGTACTGATATGGTATGTTGTAATTATAATGAAAGGCTGGTACTGGCCGTATAGTACATGAGGTACCTTGTACTGATATGGTATGTGGTAGTTATAATGAAAGGCTGGTACTGGCCGTATAGTACGTGTGGTACCTTGTACTGATATGGTATGTGGTAATTATAATGAAAGGCTGGTGCTGTCCATATAGGGTATGTGTGGTACCTTGTACTGATATGGTATGTTGTAATTATAATGAAAGGCTGGTACTGGCCGTATAGTACATGTGGTACCTTGTACTGATATGGGATGTGGTAGTTATAATGAAAGGCTGGTACTGGCCGTATAGTATGTGTGGTACCTTGTACTGATATGGGATGTGGTAATTATAATGAAAGGCTGGTACTGGCCGTGTAGTACGTGTGGTACCTTGTACTGATATGGTATGTGGTAATTATAATGAAAGGCTGGTGCTGTCCATATAGGGTATGTGTGGTACCTTGTACTGATATGGGATGTGGTAATTATAATGAAAGGCTGGTACTGGCCGTATAGTACATGTGGTACCTTGTACTGATATGGTATGTGGTAATTATAATGAAAGGCTGGTACTGGCCGTATAGTACATGAGGTACCTTGTACTGATATGGTATGTGGTAGTTATAATGAAAGGCTGGTACTGGCCGTATAGTACGTGTGGTAAACTGTACTGTTAATCACATTATCTTTGTGAGAAATAATTTTGGTATTAAATTGTAAGGAGACTTCTTCACTAACTTAAATCTTTCTTGATAATTAATTCCAAGGTTACTTATTATCAATATTGAGACAGAATTTATCAATCACAAAGTCCATTATTCGGTTATAAACATTTAGGCCTAGTTTGTAACATACTTGGGTGGTCGAGTGGTGGAGTGAATAGTATTTCACCTTGCCTTTCACCAAGACATCTGAGGTTTGATTCCCTGATCAGACATGATAAGGTAGAGGGGTCACCTGTCTGAACACGTGGGTTTTCTCTGGGTACTCCTGTTTCCTTCCACATTTAGACCCCCTGCGCACTAGAATCTGGACCAACAAGAGTGATATAGCTTGTTTCATAATTGTTGTAAAATTGAATCAAGTTTATACTATATACTTGGTTTGTAAAATTAAGTGATTTACAAAAGTCAATTATTAAGTAACTGATGCTAACTTTACTTGGTATATGGTTGTATGTAAAAATGGAAATGAATACAATACAACTAGTTTTGTATAGTGATTATCTTTTTGTGAAGCAGTGATCATGAATGGGTTCTGTATTTCATGGCCATTCATGATATATATATAGATATTATTGAGTTTTGATTCTAAAGGAGAAATGTTAGAACTCGTATGATTATATGTGCTGGATGCTATGATGTGAGAGTTAAAGTGAATTGATATAACTTCTCATTTCCTAAATCGACCGTTTTATAATGTTTAAAAATGTGTACGATGTACACTATTCATGTATATTGCATAAGGGAGGCATTGCTAAGTAAATACATGTGTATCAGCCAAGATGTGGAGTCTCCTAACCCTTAGTGCTATTTAAGTGCACCTCCTTCAATGAATAGGGTAGGCATCTTTTGTAAATCTTGATGAAAATTCTCAGTCAGGATATAACTGGTGTCATAACCTGAAAACGGGCTTGTACCATTTCCTGAAATCAATAATAACACAACTAAGTGTCCTCACATGGTGTTGGCACAAGGATGGTACAATTCTTAAATCATTTCTACAACAAAATATTTTTGTCGGTCCGAGATGATTCCCCTTTCTTTAAATCATTGCTGGTACTGTTTCTTATGTCAATGTTTTTATACTCCGTTTACTTCTGTTTTGTTTATTTTGGGAAAATCTTTTATGAGATGAACAATAAAAGTACTCAATGCTGGTATCTGAGTATCTAAATACCACCAAACCTATATATTTACATATTACATCAATTCAGATTCAAAAAGTTCCATGAGTTTGTTTTATTCATGGAACTGATGTGTAAAAACTACTTCTTTTCAGACATCAAAAGTAAGATACTCAGAATATTGAGACAAGAAAGCACCTCCCGGTAATCGGGATCAACACTTGTATTTGTATGTCTATTTTGAACTAAAGGTACCTTTCCTAATGTTAATTTCTGCTTTTGTGGAAATGCTGAATCTACAAAGATTGTCATGTTTCTATTTATGTTGTTAGTAATACAAGTACCCGGTAGTGTTTTAATACTTTTATAGCAATTGTAGGAGAAAATTATCCTTTTCAACTTTTTACTATTTAACATTTGTATAATAAATTGTGGCCCATACCATATTTTTATTGTTCATATTTTTGTTTCTTTCAAGGAACATAAATCACTTGCATGTAAGTAAATATTTTTTTTAGTGAACATATTGGGAAGAATCAGGTAGAATTGTTCCTCACAAGTATGATACCTGGGTCAAGGTATTTAATCTTTCCCTAGAATCAAACGTATCCTCAGAAAATCTTGCTTACAGACAAATACTTAAAACAAGTCAGTAACTGAAAGATTCAAATTTATATTTTTTTTCTCTAGATTTATAAACTTAACTTTATACATGTATAAGTATTGTTTTTCATGATGTTTCTGCTAGATCTTTGGCTAACAAATATATTTTCACTGTTAGATGTGG